TATGAAAATCGATATATTCTACAGATTATTTTCATGATTATATCTTATACAGTAATTAAATTCGTAGCAACTATTATTTGTGTAAAATAACGAAATGATTATACCAAACGTACAGAAAAGGTTAACAATGTATAGACATGACGTAGGACAGTTTCTTTTTATTTTAACTGTATTTTGTTCTTTATAAAACAGTCAGATCAATTCAGTTTCTGGAAGATTTTATTCCTGCAGTAGTATGAATATTATTAAAGGTTAATACATTACTTGCGCTATCACTATACTAGTTGGCCATTCAAACGTGAAATGATTACCAAACTTATAGAAAAGGTTAAAAATGTATATGAGAGTGATATATGTAATGTGAATTCTTGTGTGACAATCTCTTTTTGAATTTTTAATGGATAAAATTACAAAAATTAGACGATTATTATGTACTTGTCCCAGCTGACAAAGCAGGTAACGACATTGTCTTTGTTTGTACGGCTCAAAATAATTTGAGTTGTGGGATTAAATATCTAAAATAAAACATACACAGTGGGTTCCTGTAATTGTTTTACCAGTACCAAGCTTCAATTCTAAAACTCCCGTGAATTTCAGGTGTAATATACGTCAAATAATGGAGAAGTGGTGTTCATCAGATGAGAAATTCTCTGTCCAGACTGTAACTCTACTGGTCTCAACTTATACCTATGGAAAAGTAGCAGTTCGACTTGAAGTTTTGCAAACAGCACAAAATAGAATAATGATCCTGGATTTAGTCTAGTTTTGTGGCAAGATTGCAACAAGACTAGAATTGCAGGAGTAGGCTTTTGAAAGAATTTTACAGAAATTCTAATTTTGGTTACTAATTAAGATAACTTCATTTGTCACAATAAAATAAAACAATAAAGAGAATTATGTATCTAAGCGTAGTCTACTTGAATGCTGCATTTTAGTAAAAATCCGACCAAAGCTGTAGAAGGAGTAACATTTTGAATGTATTTCGCACAATTTACTATTTTAGTAACCACGGCAACACTGTTCATAAAAAATTAAAATAAAATATACAATAAAGAGAATTATGTATCTTAGTGTAGTCTACTTGTGTGCCAATTTATAAATGCAATCAGACCAAAACTGTAGGAGGAGTTGCATTTTTAAAGTGTTTTAAAGAAATTTCTAGTTTTAGTAACCACGGCAACATCGTTCCTGGAAATAAAAAAAAAACCCAGAATTATGTATCTTAGTTTAGTCTCCTTGTGTGCCAAGTTATATTGATTGATTGATAGTATGTTATTTTAATGCCCTTTTCGAGAATTTTTCACTAATATGAAGACCTCACCGTATGTCAATGAAGGGCTTTAAATCTAGACATATACTCGGCACTAATTAAGGACCATTGAGCAGCAAGGGTTGTTTAACTTGCCAACGTCTACTGCGACAAGATGACCTCTACTTTTAAGGTCATATCCGAAAGACCTGTGACTTGCACTTCTTATGCCGAGCGTTTAGCGAAGAAACAGTTACTACCTATGTTTACGTCTTATGTTTGACGTGGCGACGCGAACGAGAATCGAACGCGGGCCTCCCGATCACAAAGCAAACGCTCTGCCACTAGGCTACCATGACCGGTACTAAGTTATATTGCAATCAGACCAAAACTGTTCATGTAGGAGGAGTAGCATTTTAAAAGTATTTCAAAGAAATTTCTATATTTTTAGTAACCACGGCAATGCTGTTCATCAAAATCAGAAACCAATACCGTAAAACAAGAAAAGTTGAATCTCATAATGATTTTATCATATTGAAATAATAATTCGTGGTCGATTATCAACATTTCCTTCTTTTTGATCATATCTTTTAAAACATGTCAAACGGATTGTAGTTCTAAAAACTTAGATAGTCCTCTCCCATTCATTTGGATACCGTGAAGTAGAATTTAGCATTCTGTTTCATTCTTTTCTCTAAAGAATAACCTGTTTAATGTTTCGCAATTTAAAGTTTAATATGCAATGTGAACTGATGTTTTAATCATATCAAAATATAGTTATCTTATAATTGCATCAAATTTATGAATAAATAGAATTATATATACATATTTCAAAGCCTATTGCACTTCATTTTTTCTTTTCTCATTGATCTACTGATTTTTAAGAACGATGAGTTCATTCACTGGTAAAATCAATCAATTGCCTTCGATTGCAATCTCCTATAACGAACCTGCTTAAAACAAAAGTGAGGAGAGCAAAGGTAGAGACATCAGCTAGGTTGTCCTAAATAAGCTAGGTCACAGATTTTAAATAAATACTTTCTATAGTATAACACGATTTTATACCAAAATTTACATCTTGGCATGTTTTAGGTCTTTTGTATTATAGAAATAAATGATAAATCTATGAATTTCAGATGCGTAATAAATATCCTTCACTTTTATCAAGTAAACTTAATTCCTAATACTTAAGAAATGTAGAAATTTTGTTGTGTATTAATGAAATATATTAAAACAGGAATCAAAAAACATTCTGAGCAGAAGTACGAAGCAAAATCAACGCAACGTTATTGTGAGTCCGTGCTCAGTGATGTGTGCAGAGTAAACAAGTGGCTCCACACGGTTAAACATTAAAAATAAAAGTGCTCATGTCGTGATCAAAAAATATCTGAGTAACCCATAAATGTTGGAAGACAAACGCATAATATACTAGTGATTACAATCTAAAAAAAAATTACGATAGAAAGCTAAGAAAATGTCGATTGTCCATTTCGTTTCTCATGAGCACTTATCATCTATGGTCTGTTAAACAACCAAAATGATAGAGATTTATCAGATTCTTTAGTTTATTTCATTCTGAATGCATGAAACCATTTAGACATATAGTCGACATACGATTGAAAGTAACAATTATTCAGATATAGAAGAACTGCTTGCTACTGATTAAAGATATATATGCCGTATTAGTGTTTTATTTTAAAAGAAATAAATATATGTGGTGTCTCATCAAGTTATATAAGTTATATACTTTCTGCAAATAAGACAATTCCACTCCATCACTTTTAAAAGTTATGAAATATTATTTGGTAAAAATTATTTTTTCTCCGAGTCGGATGATAGACCGCCTCTTATTGAAATACTCATGATCACATGGTCTCGCATGCTCACAGCAAACAAATTTCCAATCTCGTGAATGAACCGAAAAGCATGATGGTCTACTACGTTTTTACTACAAACACGTGAGTTAGGGATTGTCAATACGTTAGTACACCTCAGAGTTGGTTGCTTTTTGTACCGAGGAATAATCACGTGCAATTGTCTTTTCATTAGCAGTACAGCACGGGGAAACTCTAAACAAACGGACCTGTACAATGGAGTGGGGAAAATTTTAATTTTTATCATTGTTAATCATTTGTATGCAAATATGAGCATGGGATTAGTAGATAATAATGTACATAATGCATTAAGCGTGTAAATGCTTGGGAAAATGCATCAAGTCTTCCCGAGAGCGATTTAAAAAAACTAGCCTTTTCTAAAAACACATGTAGTATTTTATGTAGTAACCCATAAATGCATTAAATGCAACCCATTGAGCTGATTGGTCGATTTGTCAGTCATATTGGTTCCTCACTAAACAGAGGTCACAAAAAAATATTTTCCTCGACCTGATGATTGTCGCGAAGCTTTTCCCGCGCACATGCGCAGATCCAGGAAAAACGTCAGTCCTTTATAAATATGCATGAGAATATCGTTCTTTTCCCGACCAGTACTTTGTTACTACCGAATAATATTTCGTCGAATTTGCAAAAATGCTTCATTTTTGATAGCTTATCATACTTCAGAAATTTTTGTTCGGTTTCAGCTGTGCAAAAATACTGTTTAAAACGGCATACATATATTTAAATGGAATCTGTCTATAAGAGATTTCAGGGGAATATTCAGCGAGTACTTATGTGTAGAATCAGTATGAAATTTACTATGTTACTAGATTTACTATGTTATTTTGTAATATTTACTATGCATTTTGCAGAAATAAAAATCGAGTTCCGTTTTCATTAAATATGCTGTTACTCATGATAAAAAAAACGGCTAGTTTTAAACAATCAAATGAATTAAAGAAAGATCAATTTACACTTATTCACTTAATTTACTATATTTTTTAGTTTTTTTTTAAAAAATGTTTCCTCACAATTTCATTTCTTATTCCATATTATGCATAAAAAATATCTCCAATATTTTGTGATATGATTTCATACATTGTGATAAGCTTTATCATTGGTCCACTTGATATCACGGTTTAATGCATAGAGATGCAGATACACCAGGGACCCGTTTTAATGAAGAATATACGACTAAGACCAAACTTCGATCCTACTAATAATGAAATATATGGTGATAACAAACAGTATTCAAGCTCAAAGTCCACTAAACAATACAAAATAGGAGCATAGCAAACACACGGACCTCTTAAACATCAGATGTGGAATCAGGTGCCATGGAGGAGTAGGCATTCCCTGCCGATCAGACACACCTGCGGTGTGCTTCTTGTCATGATCGTGAAATAACGGGAGAGTCCGTAGTCAAATCAGTGTATAAATAATGGACTAACAATTAATATGAAAAATGTCAGACAGCATTTAACTCGATGATAAATATTTGCTGACAAGGTCATTGTATCGATCATAGAACTTACAAAATGATAACTTTAAACGTGACTGCTGATATTCGTGCTTCATCACCTTTTTTGTCAACAATTTACCTCATTTTAGGAATTGTACATACGTCAAGCATGCTCTTGCATATTGTATCAACTGAGAAATGTAAACCCCGCATGCAGGTGATAGTTAAATTTCTAAAAAAATTATAGGAATGTCGAGAGATATTTTAACACTGGCAATTTTAATCACAATCATTTATTCTGAAATATTTACAGTTTACGTATGTTTATGATCTAGACGTAATCCTTTTTGGTGAAAAAAAATCTCCATGTACTTCTAAATGAAAACAAAAAGAACACGGATAGATCCAATTTTCTAAGAAGTTTTATTTCCTATATTTTTAGCAAACATATACATGTATTGTTAATCAGAGAGTACTTGGATTGAGCGTTAATTTCTAGGGATGTGTTTTTCTTCAGATTATAAAAATCTTTTTAATAATAATCTTACAAATTAGACGGTTGCAGATAAAAGTGAGTAAATGTAGTTCTTTCATTTGTGCAATCCCTGAAAAAACCCAAACATTTACTTCACGCCTGTGCTTGGTCGATATATTTTTTCTGTAAAGTCAATGTAAATAAGAATTGACCTCATGAAAGGGCTACATGTCTACATCTTAAGGCTGACCAAAAACCTCGACTTCACATACACCTAAATATACGGGCTGTTCATTTCGCACAATGGATATTATGACGCCATCTCCTCGGGCGCCATTTTCACACAGAAATAATATGCGGTCTTTACTTTCACCAGGACCAGGATAAAATCCACATGGAGTTTTCTGTCCGTTTTCTGTTACATTCACCTCGACGTTATGAAATTTTTCCCCTGCAAAAAAAAAATTAATAATTGCTATCAGGGTATCCTTTAGGAAATCATTATCAGAATGATTTCTGAATGAATAAGATCTTGTTAATAATACTTCTGTTAAGTTTGTAAAAGTTGATATATAAATCATGTTACTTTTGTTCAGTATCTATTCAGTTTATCAGTTCCAATCATTTATTCTGATTTCAATGAATACGATAATCGGGTTTTCTTTCTTCCCTAACTTTGATCGAGACACATTTTTTTTTCTAGCATGGATTCTAGACGAGCTTTCTTAATTTCCAACTTAACACAAACATTTCAGCACATGATTAAAATGAGGGTTGTTGAATTTAAATATCAAATAATAAAAGGACATGATCCATTTCTTTTTTAATGAAATGAAAAAAACCATAAAATTTGATAAGTATATGGTTTTACATGTACTATGAATCAAATTTTATTCGCGAGAACTTTATTCATACAACGATGTCTGATCGCGATTTTTTTTATCCCTCTCGAATATTACATTATAAAGGATAAAAAACAATAGACACCACAATTTGCGAAAATTTTGTCTCGCTAATAAATACTAAAGAAGCTTTCTCCTCAAAAAAGTTTTGCGGAAATATAGTGATCTACATTATATTATTACCTAACCTACTATATAAACTGTAATTAGGTTTTCTGAACTGGTTCCTTATCCATTTTAATGTTTTTTGCATACCTTGCAACAGTCAAAACTGTTTACCCGGTCACAGAATGAACTGTTGCATGGATGAACTGACCCAACATCACGTCATAATTGATTTCCAGTACTTTACAGCTATTACACTTTTCACTCACTAGATTTTTGTCTTTAACACGTCCATCTCAGCGTGTTATTTTCTAACCTTGAAGTCAGCTGATGTTTTTACTAAACAATACATGTATACATCGATATTTATTAGGGCATGCATGATAACACAAGAAATAATGCAAACGTTTGTCGATGTGTCTATATCATTGCTTTAAGAAATTTTAAAGTAGGCTAGGTAATAAAACATTTATTTCATGACAAATCGGGAATCGGTACTAGTCAAACTGTTGTCCCTTGATAATGGGGAAGACCTGAGAAACTGATTCCCAGGTCTTCCCCATTAACTCGGAACAACAGTTTGACTGTTCCCCTCGTAGTTATCAAATAAGTGTATATTCTCGGAATTTTTAAAAGACATTTGAAGAGATCCATCAACACGACTTACCACAGCAATCTTGCCTGTTGTAAATCAACACTTCCTTAACATTGACGGAATTCTTCAGAATGATCTTCAGCCATGGTCTTATCTCCAGATCAGTGTGCGCCACTCGAGCCGGTGATGATTCTATAATGCAAGTTGTGATACCGTCTACTGCGTTTGATGCTAAGTGGTTGATATTGTAAGCTGTGCTCATTGTGGCATTCATGGCTACTGTATAAAAGTTATAAGGCGACTGATAAAAACTTTTTAAGGTTTACTAAAGTCGGGTTAATGAAACTCAATTGTTGGAATCATGAAATATGATGTGATTGATTTATTAATTAATTCATTTAACGTGTCTCTCTAGAATTTTTAACTCATATGGAGACCCCACCACTTGCCGGTGGAGAGCTGCAATTTTAATTTGCCCTATGCTCGTCACTCAGGGCCATTGAGCAGCTAGTACATGTAGGGAGGGATCCTTTTCGTGCCATCACCTACTGCGATACAGAAACCCCGGTTTTACGGTTTCATCTAAAGGACTGGTCTCCAAGCACCACAGCGGGATTCGAAACCGTGACATCAGGATCAACTCCATACTTCGCAACTCTAAAGCAGACTCTCTAACCACTGCGCGAATTTGAAGTGACGGATATGGAAATAACGAACAGTATTCATTCTCAAAGTCAAAAAAAAAAAAAAAAATAAAATACAAACAGAGCAAACGCGGACCTCCGATACATCAGAGTTGGATCAGGTGCCAGAGAGGAGTGAGCATCCCCTGCTGACCGTTCACACCGCATTGTGCTCCTTGTCATGATCCGGAAATAACGGAAAATCCGTCGTGAATTCAGTGTATAAGTAATTGTCTAACAATCAGTATGAAAAACGTCAGTCAGCATTTGACTCAATTATTAATTGTATTTGCTGACAAGGTCATTGTATCGACAATAGAACTTACGAAATGATGACTTTAAACGAGACTGCTGATATTCGTGTTTCATCAACTTGCTTGTCGATAATTTACCACGTTTTAGAAATTGTTCATACGCAGAGCACGCTTTTGCGTATCGAATCAACTCAGATATATATCAAGTAAATAATGCAATTTAATTCAATTTACATTTACAGATGACATTTCTTGAAAAATTATCTTTACTGTCAGTTTTCAATGATATGAGCTTTGTCACATGATAAGGGTATGGAAAACTGACCACGTTAAAAGTTTTGAGGTTCTAGACTGTGACGTCATATGACGTCATAGAAATTAATCACATGACCAACGTCAAATCATATTCTTATATAACGCTAAGAATGATGTCTGAATTCATAATTCTAATTACAAACTGTGGTAATCATTTTGAGGTGAGCGTTTTATTTTTTCTTTCGTACTTTCAGTGGTAGATCACTGTAATTCCAAAAGTGGTACACCTTCTTTACAATTAAAAGTCTTTAGAAGTAAATTTACAATGATAACATTTTACTTACAGTTTTCACTGCCCCGATTTTCCTGAAAATAATAAAAAAAATACATATATTCTGGAATTTATATCGATTTAGGGAAAGATACATACAATGTAGAAGGCTAATGATATTATCAAATTCTAATTCAAAACAAAAATTAAATGATCTAAGGTTTAGTTTTAATGAAAACCCTAAGCAATATAAATAAAATCAATTCCCAGTTTTGTTCCCAAGTATAAAACTAAGATATAGTAAAAAGCAAAAGAAATAGAGAGAACATCGTCTTATTTGAGTGAATACGTATGTCTTAGAATTTCTTACAAATGAGTTAGAATAAGCCGGTTCCAAAGAAAAAAAATCATTGAAACTAAGATTAGGCTAATGTTTGTCTAGTAAAATTTACCATTTCTAAGTATTTACACCCAGGATGATCATCAATTTTGTTTGTTCCTATTTTCTTCCACTCACAGCAAACTCGACATTGAAACAAATCCTGTCTGATTTGACAAATTTCTATCCCTATACAACGTTGGTCATGTGCACAAAATTGGGAACACTTATTTATCGTTCTTCCAAACATTTGATCCTCTGCTGAGAAAATGGTTTGGTAGTCCTTGCTTTGAAGCTTTCCATTAAACCTCAGATTAAATATCCCGTGATACCGAGGCTCCTGACACTCGACTCCCAAAAATATCAGAAAAGAGAAAAAAAGTTTCATTATTTCTGTCATCTATATCAGTATTAATTAATACACGCTTATTGTAAATTGCTGCAAACTCTATACCGAAAAGATGGGAACTGCTACGGTTATCATAAAATGCCTGTTAACTTTTAATACACACTCTGATCATTGATCTGTTGTTTCGTAGGCAACAACAAATGGCTTTATCCAAGATTGGACAATCAAAAGCCTGTTCGGGATTTTACATTTTAAATTGAATATAAAACAATAACGCTAAAAAGAAAGTGAATATATATATATATATATATATATATATATATATATATATATATATATATATATATATATATATATATATATATATATATATATATATATATATATATATATATATGTTAACGTATATATATATATATATATTAACGTAGGGGGCACTTATTGTTGGCAAGCGGGGTTTTCAATAACCCTAAATTGTGACGCAGCATTGTTAAGGTTGAAATAAGGAGGTGGGGCCTAATTTATACGGGAAAAGTTTACTATGATGTCACACTAAAATATGACTTTTATGAATTCCTCATAATACCAGAAAATTGAATAATTTTCAACTTTAAACTGCATCAGCATAATAAACAACAATAAAACTTATCAATGCATTCAAAAAAGTTGCTAGTTAAATCCCATACAGCTGGTTAAAAACAGATCACTGATCTCGATGAACTTGTCAATCATGACGTCATATTGGTAAAATTGACGTAATTCATGTGCTGTGAGAGGTAGATTGAGGAATTTTTTAACAATGAAAAATGCTTTTTATTATTAAACAGAATGTTATTTACAGGTGTTAAATAGGCAGTTAATACCAATTTATATCCTTTGTTCAGTGCCATTATTCATTAACTATCGGGAAAATGTATTTCAATAATTTTGTGTTTTTATGCTCAGGTTAGGTATATTTTACATCGAGGTGCCTCGTTAAATCGTTCTTTTGCAAGGGCATACACGAAATAAATCTTTACCATTTTTTTGAATATAAATAAAGGATATGTTCCTTAACTTGAAAAGTGCTGCTGCTTTCTTTAAATCGAGAGGGTGACTTTATAAGTGCACAAAATATTTGGTAAAAGTCAAAACTTTTACTTGAATTTTTAACTGTTAAAACGCGAAATCTATTCAAAGCAGCAGCACTTTCCAGAAAGTACAAAGTATACAGAAACAATTAATAGCTTGAATTTTTAATTTCAAATAGGGTATGCCCTTGCAATATTGAAATTTGTTAATGACCTACATTCAGTACACGTACTATGCATTTATCACGTGACTGTCCATCGATGGGACCAAACTTCATACAGTACAGAATAGGTTATACTATGCTTTTTCCATAAATATTTAAGTTCTGTGATAATAAAACAGCTGAACAAAAATAAATTAAGTTTAAAAACGATACCCGTTTTTGCATTTCTATTTTCCGTTGATTCCTTTAGTAGGCCTTAACAGTGCTGCGGAGTTTGATTTGCAAAAGAAGTTTCGATCTCTTATAGGTACAGTGTATTAATCATAGTCCTAAGCAGTAAGTAAATGTGCAATAATGTAGTTTGCAATTTTTTTCTCTTTTCTTATATTGATCTGTAGATTATAGGTATGTAACTTATTTAATCAGATGGTACTTACAAAAGTAATGTCACCGCTTAAAAAAGTCCTTAATAATGAAATGGTTACCTAACAACTGGCTCGATGATAAATGTGATGACTTTTACTTTTCAATCGTTAACTTCCCTTATTTTTGCGGCAATATACCTTTAACATCTGTTAAGAGGTTTATGTCTCAGAGCTTATTCGAAACACTTTAGCAAGCTCTACCTATCATCAATGTCAAAAACATGATAGGATATTGATCAATAAGTTAACAAGAAAATCAGCGGTCGTGTTTAAAGTAACCATTTCAAAAGTTCTTAATTGTCGTTGAAAGACTCCATTTATTTCCGGATAATGACAAGGAGCACACGGCGGGTGTGACCGGTCGGGAGAGGTGCATACTCCTTCATGGCACATGTTAACACCTCTGATGTTATGAAGGTCTGTGTTTGCTCCAGGAATGGGGTCAATTACTTTTAAAAGTAATTTATTAAATTACAATTACTTAAATTTTTCTTCAATTTAAAAACAAATAACAGGCTTTCTAAGACAAGTAATTAATTAAATTACAATTACTTTGCGAAAGTAATTAATTAAATTACAAATTACATTTTGAATGTTTTAAAAAAAATTTATTCCTTGTCAATGAATATACAAAACTACATTCATTTGCATATAAGCTCAAACTCACGACAAACGATGCATAAAAAATGATATGGGCTTTGTGTATCTTTCTGGTTTAATTTTAACTTTAATTTACAAAAACATTAAAGAAATATCCGCGATCTATTTGATGCAGTTTCTTCCACGCAAAACCTACATGTACACAAATTGCATGGCTTATGATATTTGATTAAAAGGATTTGTCCTAATTAGGTAAAATGAGTCTTAACTGTAACCCCTCATATTATACATTTCTGGACCTGTACATTCTGAATTGATATTTAGGTTGAACATTTTTACTTCAAAGATAATATTTGTAAGGAACATGATATTTTCAGATACAAAATTCATTCATCAAATTATTTTTAGATGTTAAAATAATATCAAATTGAAAATTTTTCTTTTCTACAGTTTATTTAGCGCAGCATTTTAATTTGAAAAAAATTATCTCTACTGGCTTTGACTTCTAAATCATGGTATGAATGCCTCCTTAGATGGGTTTTGTTTTGATTGCAATTTATAGCTGTGGTTTGGAAGTCAATTATTTCTCCAAACCAAGAGAAAACTTAATTATGACACACACATTTTTTTCTTTATTATTGCTCAAACAAGAAAAAATGAATAACAAATGTGTGTTTCATAACGAATAGACCTAGGAGAGGTAATACGAGGGTCATTCAAAAAGTTCGTAGACTTTTGTCCTAACGTTTTTATTTAACGTCATATTATATCCAAATTTAGTTCAAATATTTTAACAACAGATTCAAATAACTTGAGTAAAAAAATTGGAATGTATCTTCATATTTATTAAAATTACCAAGGATTTAGAACAGCAAAAATGGGGTCACGGAGCACCGTCAAAATTGAGTAATTTACTAATTTTTACTTTATAGTATTTACAGCCATACCTCTAATAAATGGAGCTGAAACGAACTAAAATTTACATGTTTAAATAAAGTATTGCTGTATTTAAAAAATGAAATCAGGTTATGTAATATGTCGCTCCATTTAAAAGATATCAGTTTCTAAATACATATGGACTTGATTAAAAAAAGCAAAAAACCATGACGTTGGAGGACGTAACGGCGCAGCAAGTAGCAATAAAATTGTTCTTTACATTCAGGAAACTTCTTCTACAAGCTTAAAAAATCCGTATAAACAAATATCTGTATGAAAAATTATCTGTGTATTTGTATTAAATGGAAAATACAATTTTTGAGTGGTAGCGAGTTTGAATCGGACGATGGATTGTCTGCAAAGAAACAGGTTAAGTTAAAAATATTGTCGAAAGAGTTAGGAACGTCATTGAACATGTGTGCTTCACTGTTGCAGAATTAATAGAATTACATGGTAAATTAACGAATTTGAAAACAATGACATTCTTATTCAAGCTATATTTGCACAATTGTTCGCAAACTAGGTGTTAAGTGTAATGGATATGTTTTTTTGAATGGAAAAGACGCTACAAACCGTGTTTGAAATTAAGAAATTAGTATGATTTTGACAAACTTTCTCAACGTTGTATTTGACGTTATACCGTTCACGGTAGCTCAGTCGGTAGAGTTCTCGCTCCGTGATCGGGAGGTCGTGAGTTCGTATCTCGGCCGCGACTGACCCAGTCGATAAAATGGGTAGCAACTGTTCCTTCGCCATGCGCTCGGCACTTTGAAGTGAAAGTTGCGGGTCCTTCGGATGAGACCTTAAAAACCGAGGCCCCGTGTCAGCGGCAGGCGTTGGCACGATAAAGATCCCTCACTGCTCAATGGCCCTGAGTGCCGAGTAAAGGTCAAACTTTGAAGCCCTTCACCGGCATACGGTGACGTCTCCATATGAGTGAAATAATCTCGAGAGGGACGTTAAACAATATACAATCAATCAATCAATCTTTGACGTTACAATGTTGGTTAACCGTGCTCCGTGGTAACAAATCATGTTGGTTTAAATTTTGGTTAATATGAGCTCTATTTAATCAAATGGAATGAAACTACACACTTCGACAAAATAGATGTTTATGTTTACGAAAATGTGTTGATCTATAATCTTGTTATAATTATATGACGATGAAAAGCATTGTCTACGTATTTTTAGAATGACCCTCGTACAATATCTAGATAAATCTATAACAAAGAATTACATAATGATTAGAAAGAAACTAGATTATTATCATCAAACCAATTGTTTATTTGCTTGTAAACATTAACTTAATTTTTTTTACAACTGAAGGACTGAGGATATGTTTAACAATTTAAATAAAAGACAGTAAAATGTGGAGGTAGTGGTCACAATATATCAGGGGTGTGAACTGCATGTATAAAGTAATTGAATGTTATTGAAAAAATAATTGAAATAAAATGGTAATATATTTTTTCAGTAATTACAAGTAATTGAAAAAATGTTCAATTACAAATTTTTTCCAAGTACATAAAAATGTAATTCATTACAGTCAATTACAATTACTTTTTTTCAATTACCCCATTCTTAGTTTGCTCTGTTCCTATTTTGTATTATTTTATGGACTTTTGATCTCGGATAACGTTCGTTATCTCCATATTTTCTATCTATATACGTTTCTGGACATCAAACTGCAAATAACTGAGAACGATAGTATTGTTCTCCCGCTTACCCCCAAGTTAATTTTCAAAAGTTAATATTTCGATGAATTTTTAATATTTTTTCAAATAGATAATTATATGGATTTTCATAAAACATTACTTATTTGGGGAAAAGAAAGAGAGATAACTGTACAATTTTTGTACAATTATGTTTTTCATTATAGAAATCAACGGAAAACGGAAAATATTTTTAAAACATCTCCACCCCCCCCCCACCCCCGTGTTACAAAACTCTCTTTTTACAGGTAATATAGACCGACTGTTATTTCACACATTTATACCAAAGGGGGGACATATGTTTATTGACAAAAAACGATAAAATTGCTTATTTTCCACCAATTTCAAAGCGATTTACAACGGAAACATTATACTTCATAGATATAATTATGTTTTATTTATTTGCCTAAAACACGAAAAAAGATATAAGGAACATATATTCGTATTCAAGACTATTTCAAAATATGGTGATGCTTGAAACTCCGATTTCAATGGAAAATATCGTCTACCCCCCTTTTTTCAAGAGCTGGAATTATGGATAATTTACTGTTTAGCGCTAGTATTAAGACAATTCATTAATTACCATTGAACTGTTCTTTGTATTAGACAAAGATTTTATGACCAAATTGCTATTTATATTGAATTAAAGGGTTCCAAAATGTAGGCTGGAATCGAGAGTTAACGTGCGTATTTCTTTACGATGTAGTAGAGATGACAGAATCTTTTTTTTAATCGCCCATTCAATAATTTTATTACCAAAATCAAAATTTCAAGAGCTTTGAATTACAACAGGCCCATAGGCCACATCCCTCGCCTGAAAATATTTTACCATGCAGTTGTTTACCAGATTTCCCCCTTCTGACACCTTTTGTGACCCCGAGAACATAATTTGGACAATTCTAAATTCTAGATTACCCCAGGATATTTTGGCATAATGTTTAGCTTTTCTGGCCCAATAGTTCCCGAAAAGAATATTGTAAAAGATTTTTTCCTATATGTTTCAATCTAAAGCTTGGGTTCCCTATTGTGGCCCCGCCCTACCCCTCATGATTTGAACAATTTAGAATCTACACTAACCCCGGATGCTTCCGCATCAGTTTAAGGTTTTCTGAACCAGTAGTTATTAGAAAGATTTTTAAAGTTTTCTCCTATATATTTCTATGTAAAACTTGGGCTCCCAGTCAGGCCCAGCCCTATCCCCGGAGTTTATGATTTAAGTTATTTAGAATCTACACTACCCACGGATGCTTCCACATAAGTTTCAGCTTTTCTGGCTCAGAGGTTCTTGAGAAGAAGAATTTAAAAGTTTTGTCATATATATTTCTATGTAAAACTTAGATTCCCTTTCAAAAAATCTGAAACAGTTGTCTGTATTTGAAAGAATAATATTGTTCAATCACTAAACCTCCCTATCACACCATGTTCATCTCCCATGAGTGCTTTCAGTACTTTCATTGTAATCTATGGTCGATATCCTGACCATGTTAGCGAACTCAATTTTTCATTAGGCCATGGAAGAGTTTTTCAATCATACTTATAAATACTGTGTTTTTCTACGAAGCTGCTTCAAATTTTCGTGAAAAAGTTATGCATAGAAATTAAAGATACAATTAGGTTAATTTCTGCATCTTAAAATGATAAACTGAGATCGAATATCAGCATTTCATTCTCTTGGGTTTTTTTGAAGATACTATGAAGTAGAATTTATCATTCCATTTCATTCTTATCTGTAAAGAATAACCATAACCCTTTTAACGTTTTTGCACAATTAAAAGTTGAATGTGCAATGTGAAGTGACGACTAAATCTTATCAAAATATAGTTATCTTAATTGCATCAATCTTATAATTAAATAGAATTATATATACCAATTTCAAAGCCTATTGCAATTCATGTTCCTTTTCCTATCATTGATTCATTGGAATCAAATAGAAGATGGTGAGTAAACATTTTTTTCACATTTCGATGAAAAAGAATGAAAAAGAATTCTGAATGAAATAGTTTAATAAAGCAGAAATCCCTTTTAGACAACGTCGGAGTAATGCCATAAAAACTGTAATGAATTTCATAAAGATTTTATCATATTGAAATAATTATTCGAGATCGAATATCAGCATTTCATTCTTTTCGTTTTTTTTTCAAAGATACTATGAAAAGGAATTTATCATTCAATTTCATTTTTATCTTTATCGATAAATTAAAGTGCTTTTTGGTATCATTGACAACTGCTTTTTCAATAGAAATGATACTCGTAAATTTACTTACCTGGTCATTGGTCATTAGCAAAATTATTTTGTTAAAACAGATTCTGATTGAAGACACAAGGGCTCTGAAGTTGACATCAAAACAATGCTTGAGTTTCTGATTGACAATATCTATGTTGTTTTTGAAGACCAGGTTTTCCAACAATCTATTGTAATATCCATGGGTACCAATTGCGCTCCGTTATTAGCAGACCTATTTTTATCTTCATATCAAGCAGAATTTGTGCAAAATCTTATGCGTGAAAAGAAGAAAACACTTGCTGTGGCCTTCAACTCGACATTTAGATATTTCGACGACGCATTGTCAATTAACAATTTCCATTCCTATGTCGACACGATATATCCTGGTGAGCTTGAGATAAAAGATATCACAGAGTCTGATCCATCTGTTTCATACTTGGATATTTTACTTTAAAAAGACGTTAATGGTAATCTAACAACCAAGCTATATGATAAACGTGATGACTTAAACTTTTCTATCGTCAATTTCCCTTACTTATGCAGCAATATACCTTTATCACCTGCATATGGAGAGCAAATATAATATATCAGTTGATTCGATACGCAAAAGCATGCTCTACGTATGAACAATTTCTAATTGACAAGCAAGTTAATGAAACAAGAATATCAGCAGTCTGGTTATCGTTTTGTAAGTTGTATGGTCGCTAAAATGACCTTGTCAGCAAATACAATTTATCATTGATTCAAATGCTGACTAACGTTTTTCATACCAATTGTTAGTTCATTATTTATACACTGAATTGCCGAGGGATTTTTCCGTTATTTCCTGATCATGACGAGGAGCACCGGTGACCGGTCAGCAGGGGATGCTCAATCCTCCATGGCACCTGATCCCTCTTCTGATGTTTCGTAGGTCCATGTTTGCTCTGCTCCTATTTTGTATTGTTTTATGGACTTTGATATTAAATACTGTTCGTTATATCTTTCTGTAAAGAATAACCCTTTTAACGTTTTGGTACAATGTAAAGTTAAACGTGCAATGTGAAGTGATGACAAAATCTTATCATTAGAAATATAGTTATCTTAATTGCATCAATATCATAAATGAAAACAATTTTATATACGTATTTTACAGCCTATTGCACTTCATGTTTCATTTCCTATTGATCAACTGATCTTTAATGAGGATGAGTTCATTTACTGGTAAAATCAATCAAACGCCTTTGATTGTTCTCTTCCTTTACGAATCTGCTCAGAAATAATATTGCTTACCGGTATCTGCTACTAATACAATGCGTTTGATTTGATCTGAGATGCTAAAACACAAGTGAGGAGAGTAAAGGTAGATACATCAGCTAGGTTGTCTTGAATAGGTTAGGTAATAGATTTTAAGTTAAGAATATTTTAGTTAACAATATGATTAAGATATTTTTTGACCAAACGAAACCAAAATACACATCTAGGTGTTTTTCAGGCCTTTTTATTTGTAGATTAATAAGTCTGTGAATTTTGAGGTGTACTTAACAGATATCCTTCACTTTCACAAAGTAAAATTTTAGGGCACAATAGAGCTCAAACTGCACTTTCTTTCTTATTGACATCTGTATGATAATGGTTTAATTTTTTTTTTTTAGAAACGTAGAAATATATTTTAACACTAGCACAGAATCATTTTTTCTTTAAGAAATTACAATCGACTTATGTTTATGGTGTTAAACTAATTTTTTATTGAAAAAAGTCATATTTTCTAATATAATATGGTTTTATTTCATATGCAATCATATTTTGATAAAATTAATACATCGATGTATTGTTAATCAGAGAGTACTCGAATTGAGCGGTAGGTTCTGAAGATTCATTTACTTCAGGTTTTGAATTTTAAAAAAATTTAATTTAACAAATTAGACGTTTGTAGGAGAAAAAGGAAGTAAATGTAGCCTTTTTCATCTGGGCAATCCAAAAACACATTTACTTCACGTCGTTGCTTGGTCTAAATGTTTTTTCTTTCTGTGAGGTCGATACACATGTATAACTAAAAATCGACCTCATGAAAGGGCTACATTTCTACATCTTAAGGCTGACCAAACACCTCGACTTCACACACACCAAGAAATACGGGCTGTTCATTTCGCACAATGGATATGATGATGCCATCTCCTCGGGTGTCATTTTCACACAGAAATAATATGCGATCTTTACTTTCAGCAGGACCGGGATAAAATCCACATGGAGTATTCTGTCCGTTTTCTGTTACGTTCACCTCGACGTTACGAAATCTTTCCCCTGTAAAATTAAAAATTTAAATATCTATATGGGTATTCTTTAGGAAATCGTTATAAGAATATCAATTTTAATGAATTTTGTAAGTTTTAATCTATTTCATACTTATTTAATTTCTTTTTATGTTTATATACAGTATATATATTTTTAAACATGTTTCTTTTGTTCAGTACGTTTTCCGTTTACCAGTTCCAATCATTTTTTCAATGAATATATGATAATCGGGTTTTCTGACTTCCATAACTTTGATTGAGAAACAGTTTTCTTTTTAAAAAAATCATTAGATAAAAAATTCAAACTTTTGTAGATTACTGCTTGTTGCGTTTCTTTTGCGTGTCAGTATATATATTTTTAAACATGTTTCTTTAGTTCAGTATGTTTTCCGTTTTCCTTTCATTTATTTTTATTTCAATGTAACACAGATATTTTGGCAAGTGATTAAAATAAGAGTTGCTGAATTTAAACATTTATAGGTATAAAATGAAACATAAATTATAGCGCATCATCAATTTCTAATGAATATGTAAAAACCATAAAATTTTATAGGTACATACATGTACTGAAAATCAAATTTTATTCGCGAGAATTTTCTTCATAGTAGGCTGTTTGCTCGCGAATGTTCTATCGAAGACTGTGGAATCATTTTAATTCGTAGGGGTCAATGTTCGATGGTAAGCAAAAATTGTCCTGTTTGCTTTGACATCATTTCGTGGATTACCCGTAATTACGTAGTTCATGAATCAGTATGTTAACAAAATAAACGTTCGTGGGGATTCATGATAAGGGTGACTCGCGAAATCCACATTGGTCCCTTACAAACAATGATGATTCTACAGTATTAAAATTATAAAGGATAAAATAGACACCACAGCCCGCGACATTTTTGTCTCGCTAATAAATACAATGAAGATTTTCCCCTTAAATAGGTAACGTGAAATATTACGATCTACAGTATACTCTCGGAATTTCTTTTAAGACGTGTGTAGAGACCCATCAACATGACTTACCACAGCAGTCTTGCCTGTTGTAAATCAACACTTTCTGAACATTAACGGAATTCTTCAGACCGATCTTCAGCCATGGTCGCATCTCAAGCAAAGTGTGCGCTATCCGAGCCGGTGCTGATGTTATAATACAAGTTGTCAATCTGTCCACTGCGTAGGAGGCTAAGTGGTTGATATCGAAAACTGTGCTCAATGTGGCATTCATGGCTACTGTAGAAAAGTTATAAGGCGAAGGATCAAAATTTCTTAAGGTTTGCTAAAGTCGGCTAGAATGAAACTCAATAATTGGAACCAGGGAATTTGAAGTGACAAATTCACTTCAATATTTACATTTAGAGAAGGACTTCCTTGAAAAAATAAGTTTACGGTCAGTTTTCAATGAGATGCACTTGGTCACATGATTTTCCATGATATGGAAAACAAGGTAAGACTTTTGGAGGGTCTAAACTGTGACTTCACGTGACGTCATAGAAATTAATCACATGACCAAATTCAAGTCATATTCTCATGAAACCCTAAGAATGATATCTAATTTCCTAATTGTAATTACAGATTATGGTTATCATTTTTTAGGTAAGGCTATTTTCTGCCTCCCTTTTAATGGTAGATCACTGTAATTCTATAGGTGGTACACCTTCTTTACAATTAAAAGTCTTTAGAGGTAAATTTACAATGAAAACATTTTACTTACAGTTTTCTCTGCTCTTTTCTTCCTAAAAATAAAATATATATCATTGAATTTATATAGATTTAGAGAAAGATACATACAATATAGAAGTCATAAAATTATCAAAATTAAATTCAAAATAAGAACTACATGATCCAAGGTTCATGTATAGTTTTAAAACCCTAAGCAGCTCAAATAAACTCAATTTCCAATTATAAAACTAAGTTATATTAAAAAAAAACCATAGAGAAGATATCGTCCTCTTATTAATATTATGTATGTCTAATTTCTTATAGGCGAGTTAGAAGGAAAAAAATTAAACTACATCCAAAGAAAAAAAAACTAATCATTAAAACTAAGATTAGGTTATTATTTGGCTGGTAAATTTTACCATTTCTAAGTATTTACATCCAGGATGTTCATCAATATTGTTTGTTCCCATTTTCTTCCACTCACAGCAAACTCGACATTGAAACAAATCCTGTCTGATTTGACAAATTTCTATCCCTATACATCGTTGGTCACTGATACAAAATTGGGAACACTGATTAATCGTTCTTCCAAACGTTTGATTCTCTGCTGAGAAAATGGTTTGGTAGTCCTTGCTTGGAAGCTTCCCATAAAACCTCAGATTAAATTCCCCATGATACCGAGGCTCCTGACACTCTACTCCCAAAAATATTAAAACAGGGTAAAAAAGCTTCATTATGTCTGTCATCTTTATCTGCATTGATTCAGTAAGACTTATTATGAAATCCCTGCAAACTCTATACCGAAAAGACGGGTACTGCTACGTTAATCGTAATGTGCTGATTAACTTTTTATACACACTCTGATCATTGATTTGTAAACAAGAGGGTTGTCTCCGAGGCAACAACAAATGACTTTATCCAAGTTTGGACAAATTTACCAAGTGGAATTCCAAAGTCCGTTCGGATTTTATACTTTGAATGGAATATAAAATTATAGCTCTAAAAAGAAAAAGACTTTTCGGATATAGATCTTTACTTAACAGGCATTGGATTAAGACATTAAATAACAAAAAATATATTTGAAGAAATAAAATTCACTACTACATTAGAACACGAATGGAATTTCAAGAGGAAGTTCAAGACAGAATCCCCGGGTAGAACAAAACATTCATTAACTCATCTTCTAGTAGCAATGAGAGACGCTATCACCGCAGCTAAACGTCGTCAATTCAGTGTATAAATAGTGGACTGACAATTAGAATGAAAAACGTCTGTCAGCATCTGACTCAAGAAATGGTCATTGTATCGGCCATAGAAATTACGAAATAATGACTTAAAACGAAACTGCTTAAATTATGTTTGAAATACTGTTATTTATTCTTTGAAATACTTATTGTTAGACACTAAAGTTTAACACCACTTTGATGACGAAATTTTACCGATCATTTCCCGATCGTGACAAGGGGCACATATGGAGGGTGTGAATGGTCGGCAGGGAATGCTTACTCCTCCATGGTACCTGATCCCACCTCCGATGTTTTGGAAATCCGTGTTTGCTTTGCTCCTCTTTTGCATTGTTAAATGTACTTCTTTTGGGCTTAAACACTGTTCATTATCTCCATAAATTATATTTGCTGACGTCATTTAATTGACCATATCTTGGAGAGGACTTGTATAGGCAATTTCTGCTGTCCAATCCTATTATGTATATTCATTATTAAATATATTTAGATTAAATAGACCATAGAACTTCCGAAATGATTTAAAGTTTATTGTTTATAATTATTCTTATTTTTTAAAAATTCTTCTGTAGTGTAAAGAAGTATTTTTACTTCTTATATCAATCTAATTTAAATTAGATAAGATCCTCTTGCATAATTACTGGTTACACTAACATCTAACTACATCCAAAAGAGGATCATGTCAAACTCGGAAGAACTCGACTTATTCGCTTCAACAAATAAACGATGATTTTAAAGTTGACGATTTGATTGGTTGATAGAATTTGACCTCTGAAGTGACCCTCAATGGGATGTTGTTAGATGTAAGTGTAGCGAGTATGCGTGCGGATCTAACATCTAGTTTTAATTAGATTGCAATGAAATGTAAGCATAAGGAATCACTGTCTAGTTTATTGGATATGCCATGGACATCAAAGATAGTTGGAATCGTGGAAAAATTTGCATAGAACGGGCTTTATGCAACTATAAACTGTCATTGATGCCCTGGCATACCCAACAACCTAGACAGTGATTCCTTATAAGTTACTCTCTTTTCTTGATATGTATCCACTGCATACGCCCTGGACTGTAATTTTAATTCACATTCACACAAGGATCAATTTCAGACATGGGTCACATCTTTATATTAAATGGTATTTCAATTTAAAAAATTAAAATGTAGTTACATGTAACAATGCATGATTCCAGGGTAAAGTAATGTTTACATAAAACGGTTTTTCTTCACAATATACTAGTACTTTATATCAATGAGGCATCAGCTTTTGTGATTCATTATTTAATTATACACTTCAAGTTTTCACAAAGCTAGAATTGCAGTATGCCCATTTGACAAAATAGAGATTGTGACATCATTTCTCCTAGTGTCCGATTTACAAATTCACTCCACTTTGAGCATTGAGATTTAGAAACTGGAAGACAGTTAGTAATGATTAAGACATTAGTATATATACATTCCTCACTGATTCATAACAAATAAATAAGTTACATTTAGATAATTACTACATGTACATGTAGAAGGATATGGAGATAACGAACAGTATTCAATCTCAAAGTCCATAAAACAATACAAAATAAGTGCAAAAAAACCACATCAAAAAAAACCAACTGGTCACACCCGCCGTGTGCCTCTTGTCATGATCAAGAAATAACGGAAAAAATCCGTCGTCAGTTCAGTGTATAAATAATGGACTAAGAATTGGTATGAAAAACGTCAGTCAGCATTTGACTCAATGATAAATTTTATTTGCTGACAAGGTCATTGTATCGACCATAGAACTTATGAAATGATGACTTTAAAAGAGACTGCTGATATTCTTGTTTCATCAACTTGCTTGTCAATAATTTACCTCGTTTCAGAAATTGTTCATACGTAGAGCATGCTCTTTGGTATCGAATCAACTGAGATATTTTTTTCCAACGCCAACTTCTTTCGGTACCAATTTTCCTCCTTTCTATACTACATTTTCCTTGATATTAACTTAGTGTACCATAAAGTGGGGGAGCCAACCAGCCTTTCAATGAACACGTCCAATAGTAAAAGCAATGTTGGCAAAAAAAGTGGGGGAGCCAACCAGCCTTTCAAATGAACATTTCCAATAGTAACAGCAACGTTGGCAAAAAAAAAGTGGGGGAGCCAACCAGCCTTTCAATGAACACATCCAATAGTAAAAGCAATGTTGGCAAACAAAAATGCCTGCATTATAACCCAATCATGACATGGAGGCACATGGTGGGTGTGAACGGTCAGCAGGGGATGCTAGTTCCTCCATGGCACCTGATCCCACCTCTGATGCTTTGGAGGTCCGTGTTTGCTCTGCTCCTGTTTCATATTGTTTTATGGACTTACGATCTTGAATAATTTTCGTTATCTCCATGTTTCATAGTGCACTAACTAGCCTATCTGAGATTTCTATACACAAGAAGCATCTGATATTAATGCATAAAATATTTAAATTTGGGAAATAGGCAAGCATGTCCTGTTTTTAAACTAAATGTCAGAGAAGATTTTCTGACCTTTCTGTGGACCTTTGGTTGTAATATAACTCAGATTAAAGTTATTCTTTTGTTTGAGCGCTCCATTACTTTAATTTAAGGAATGGAGAGTTGCAAATTAAATTTCATTGAAAACGGAATTTCTTATGTTCTTATTCTCCTTTGCGTGCCTCTACCGAAGAAAGAACTTTTAGAGAAGAATTTTAGAAAATGTTGGAGTTAATTTTCACATTATTAAAATTTTATTGCCAAAGGTAAGAATCGAACCCGGTACCCTCCGCTTTGCAGTCGGGTACTGATTTCACCGAGCTATCGGAGCTGTTGAAAAACATAGGATTAGAATAACTTTAGTACACTTTTTTCGCCTTACTTTCTATAGTTTATATAAAAAATAAATACTACTAATATATAATGTCTATTTACAGTGTATCATATTAATATTCATTATTTTATAATAACAAACAATAAATAAAAGAATTAAAAAGCCGGATTTTACGCGGGTTAATATACTCGTAGCGCTCCATTCCTTAAAAGTAATGGGCCTCGGCGCCTTTGCTCTATTGCTTTTAAGGAATGGAGCGCTACTCGTACATTAGCCCTTACATCCAAACTCAATTTGTAAGAGGGTTTACTAATTAAGGTTTGCCATGATGAATCATTGCATCCTTCCTGGAGACACTGCATAGCTAGGGCACAATAGGGCCTTAGCAAGCTTGTCCTTTCTGTGTATTCATATTTGAAATTAATCAGTCTGCCTGTCCTAAATAATTTATAATTCTTCCCTATTTGTTTTCACTATAAAATTGTTGTTACATTTTTTACATAGTGAAAGTCTCTTATTTAATATGTTTATTGAATCAATATCAACACATTCCTTGGATGTTTTTCTATACATGGTGTATTTATATTAAGGGTCTTTTTCTGTGACTGAAACTGATTTTAGGTCGAATACTGTATTGTACTACTCTACATATTTGAAGGAGGAGTACAAATCAACTAAGAAGCTAATGAAAAACATGATTTTAATAACTTATATATACACAAATTAATACAACCGTCTTATTATTTGTTCTCCCTCTAAATATCACAGTTTTCAAGAGAAAAGAAGTCATTAATGTAGAATGTTCCGTCACTCAGTATCTCTGAAAGTGTTTGTTTGAATAGCCAGTGATATAGGCCATTAAGTAGGTCACATGATCAGGTCACATGACTTTGTGATTCACCACATTCTTTCCAGTGGGTGAGCCGCAGCGTAGCCGCCATGTTTAAACACAGCCTGAGCGATGTGCTCATAATTCTCGGAATTGTTCTTCACTGGTCCTGTTTTTAGGAAAAAAATGCATAAATTTACATTTCAGAAATATTTCATGTAAAGAACTTGTTCAACATTTTGGTAATTAAGAGATAAGATTGACAATTAAAATATTACATTTAAATCCATTCCACAAAACTTTTTGATTTCATTATGTAAAATGGTAACACTAAATTCATAATCAAATCTCAGAAAAAAGAACCTTTGAAAATGGTTTTTAAAAAGAATTTTATAGATTACATATTCTATGAAAATAATTGATATCTAGGTCACACTCACCATCATATATCTCTGTAATATTTGTTTGAATTCTCTTCATGGCATCCTTACAAAAAGCCTTTGTTAGAAGAATCTGAAACAACAAGTGGAATTAACTTATACACGCTTATGCACGCTGTCATTACCTCATGATCTGCGTTCTGTAGTTCAAGACAATAAGACTTGTTAGAGCGACTTATACAAGCGGTCATTACCTCATGATCTGTGTTAGATCGGATTATACAAGCTGTTATTACCTCATGATCTGCGTTCTGTAGTCCAAGACAATAAGACCTGTTAGATCTGCTTATACAAGCTGTCATTCCATAGATATCTATCACAATGTTGGCGACCTTAGCCAGGTCCATCTGAGCATTCACTATGTCCTGTTAATGAAATAGGAGTGGTGAATATTTTATGTCGGTACAAAGTAGTGCTGAAACTCGATTTACAGTAGTTGATAGGTTTCTGATTGTAAGATCTGAAATGAAGACTGACCTTTCCATGCGTGACTAGAAGATGCTCTACCACATTCTGAAATGCTAGGGTGCAACCTTCTAGATTTTGGGCCTCTATCTGAAATCAGATCATTAATACTTAATATATTCTGATAAAATCATTTGCTGTTGAACCTGTACTGTAAAAAAGTTTAATTTGCAAATACTTTATTTTTGCACAAATACCAGTGATCTTAGGCCCCTGCTGGCAAAATATCAATTCTGCTTGTATATTTTAGGATTAAGTTGGAACAATCAAGTCTTAATTGTGACATTCTTACACAAAGAAATATCAAAACCAGAAGTCTCTGTCGCAAACTCTAGCTCTACTGGTTTGTACTTATAAAAAAAGGAGAAGGAGCAGTTGGACTTGAAACAGCAATAAATAGAATAATGATCCTTGATTTAGTCTCTTTTTGCGGCAAGACTGCAATAAGACTAGAACTGTAAGTGTAGCCTTCATAAAGAATTTTACAGAAATTTCAATTTAAATTACTATGGGAAGATAATTCATCAACATAAAAAAACAATAAAGAGAATTATGTATCTAATTGTAGTATACTTGAATGCTGCATTATATTGAAATCAGACTAAAACTGTGGGAGAAGTAGCATTTTGAGAGTATTTAACAGAAATTACTTTTTTTAGTAACCACAGCAACACTGTTCATTGAAATTAAAAACCAATGCAAAGAATTGTGCCAAGTTGTACTGAAATCAGACCAAAACTGTAGAAGGAGTAGCATTTTGAAAGATTTCTTATATTTTTACATTTTTTTCTGATGACTGCCATAAATTTACGCCATTCAACTGTCATTTTTAAAGAGTGTGCACTATATTTTTTGACGTCAAGAGTTTTACATGTATTATGACGTAACAATGGAGATATTCATGCTTATTCGTGGTACATACGTAATGTAGTTCATGAGAAAATGAACTGCATTTTTTTTTGTAAAGAATCATAGGGGAAATTTATTTGTAATGTAAATATTTATGTATCCTAGTGTAGTCTACTTGTGTGCCATGGGATAAATAAATAAGATCAAAACTGTAGGAGGAGTAGCATTTTGAAAGTATTTTAAGAAATTTCTTAAAGCAACACCTTTCATCGAAATAAAAAATAGATAAAGAGAGAAGTAAGTATCTTAGTGTAGTCTACTTGTGTCATATTAAAATCAGACCTTAACTGTAGGAGAAGTAGCATTTTGATAAAATTGTTTACAGATGGACGCGCGCATCCGTTTTGATGTAGCCGCATTATCACATTTTTTTGTATTTTTGATAAACATAAAAAGTTGGTATTCACAAAAAAAGTGTAACAAAAATTCTGTGATTTTCAGTATACTATCACTGTTTAAGATGAAAATTGAAATATCACTTTTCTACGGTAGCCATTTACAATGAGATTTTAATGTACTACTATACGTTGTTGAAGATTTCCACATCATGTAGGATATTACCTACGATGTTTACACGCTGTTAATCAATGGATAACATTCAGAAATTTAAAAGAAATAAAGTATATCTATGATTAAAAAAATTATCATAATGTTAAAGAAAATTCTTGAAATTTAAAATTTAAAAAAACTTAGCCACCGGTCACCTGACCATGTTAGGCTTACTTAATAGGTAAGTGATGACATGTAACCTACCTGTAGTGTGTACCTACCTGTAGTGTGTTGTGTAGAGATAATGGAAGTTGAAGTGTTGAATTCTGTGGTTGTTATATAACGTACCTGTAGTGTGTTGTGTAGAGGTAACGGAAGTTGAAGCGTTGAATTCTGTGGTTGCTATATAACGTACCTGTAGTGTGTTGTGGAGAGGTAAAGGAAGTTGAAGTGTTGAATTCTGTGGTTGTTATATAACGTACCTGTAGTGTGTTGTGTAGAGACTAACAGAAGTTGAAGTGTTGAATTCTGTGGTTGTTATATAACATGTAGTGTGTACATACCAGTGTGTTGTGTAAGTGTAACAAAAATTCTGTGATTTTATATACTATCACTGTGTTGTGGAGAGATGAAAATTGATATGTATTCTATGTTGTTATATAACGTACCTGTAGTGTGTTGTGTAGAGATGAAATTTTAATGTTGACTTCTGTGGTTGTTATATAACACCTGTAGTGTGTTGTGTAGGATCAAGTTGAAGTGTTGAATTCTGTGGTTGTTATATAACGTATATGTGTTGTGTTCAATTGTAAGAATTCTTCAAACTTTGTTGCTTAATATTCACATTGGTTTTCAATTTAAAAGAATAAAGAATTGGATTCTATATTGTTATATAAGTAGTAGTGTGTTGTGTAGAGATAAAAGATCAATTCTTGACAATATATAACAGTAGTGTGTTGTGTAGGATAAACACTTGAAGTGTTGACCGGTCATGACCATGTTAGTGTGTTGTGCAGAGATAGGTAAGTGTGACATGTATATAACTACCTGTAGTGTGTTGTGTACAACAGAAGTACCTGTAGTGTGTTGTGTAGTGTGTTGTGTATAATAGAAGTTGAAGTGTTGAATTCTGTGGTTGTTATATAACTTAACTGTAGTGTGTTATGTAGAGATAACAGAAGTTGAAGTGTTGAATTCTGTGGTTGTTATATAACGTACCTGTAGTGTGTTGTGGACAGATAAAGGAAGTTGAAGTGTTGAATTCTGTGGTTGTTATATAACGTACCTGTAGTGTGTTGTGTAGAGATAATGGAAGTTGAAGTGTTGAATTCTGTGGTTGTTATATAACGTACCTGTAGTGTGTTGTGTAGAGATAATGGAAGTTGAAGTGTTGAATTCTGTGGTTGTTATATAACGTACCTGTAGTGTGTTGTGTAGAGATAAGGGAAGTTGAAGTGTTGAATTCTGTGGTTGTTATATAACGTACCTGTAGTGTGTTGTGTAGAGATAACAGAAGTTGAAGTGTTGAATTCTGTGGTTGTTATATAACGTACCTGTAGTGTGTTAATTTTTCGGGAAATTTAGTTTTGAAGAAAATTTAGTTTAATAAATTACCAAAACCACTAATAAACGTAAACTGTTATTTACCAATGCATTCAGATAAAAGCGTGTTATATAGACGTTCATCAACGCTACGGCATCACGTGTGTATTTATAGCAAAATTTTCCTTAATAAAAAGGCTTACAGAACAACACTACCCCGGAGTTTGATAATTTCTTTGAGTTGTTATATAACTGAAAAACATCTTTTTTGTGTTGTGTAGAGATAACTATCTTGTCCGTAAAATATTTATTCCAGTCATTCGCACGAAACCTTCCCTTTGTTTTGAATTATATACACATGAATCGAGATTTTTCGTACAACTGTTAGTGTGTTTCCGATTGTGTCAGAGATTTCAATCTGTAGAAGTCGTATGTTTTGAAATATCCAGCTTATTGTTGTTCTGTTGTTATTTGGTCATAACGTACCTGTAGTGTGTTGTGATGAAAATAAATTAGCATACCTGTTTAATTAATTGAAATCCATGTGAATTTAACACAATATTTCCGATATTTCCTTTTAAACTCCATTTTACGTATCTCTGAACATGCTGTCTTAGCAAAATTCTCTTTACACGACGTGATCAATTTCCAAGTTATATAACATATACGTCATCTGTAGTGTGTTATAGTATAACAAAATTAAAACATTTCATTTTTGTTAATGTTTAAGGTTTCTAATCATTTTCTAAGTGTTGAATTCTGTCATCTTGCCTACTATGACGTCATAATGCAGCACTGATTTAGCCAAGGTAGAATATTTTGTATGCTTCCTTATTCCCCCTGCGTAGTGTGTTGTGCAGAGATAATGGAAGTTGAAGTGTTGAATTCTGTGGTTGTTATATAACGTACCTGTAGTGTGTTGTGTAGAGATAACAGAAGTTGAAGTGTTGAATTCTGTGGTTGTTATATAACGTACCTGTAGTGTGTTGTGTAGAGATAACGGAAGTTGAAGTGTTGAATTCTGTGGTTGTTATATAACGTACCTGTAGTGTGTTGTGTAGAGATAAGGGAAGTTGAAGTGTTGAATTCTGTGGTTGTTATATAACGTACCTGTAGTGTGTTGTGTAGAGATAACAGAAGTTGAAGTGTTGAATTCTGTGGTTGTTATATAACGTACCTGTAGTGTGTTGTGTAGAGATAACAGAAGTTGAAGTGTTGAATTCTGTGGTTGATATATAACGTACCTGTAGTGTGTTGTGTAGAGATAACAGAAGTTGAAGTGTTGAATTCTGTGGTTGCTATACAACGTACCTGTAGTGTGTTGTGTAGAGATAAGGGAAGTTGAAGTGTTGAATTCTGTGGTTGTATATAACGTATGTATAACAGAAGTTGAAGTGTTGAATTCTGTATATAACGTACCTGTAGTGTGTTGTGTAGAGATAACAGAAGTTGAAGTGTTGAATTCTGTGGTTGCTATATAACGTACCTGTAGTGTGTTGTGTAGAGATAATGGAAGTTGACGTGTTGAATTCTGTGGTTGCTATATAACGTACCTGTAGTGTGTTGTGTAGAGATAAGGGAAGTTGAAGTGTTGAATTCTGTGGTTGTTATATAACGTACCTGTAGTGTGTTGTGTAGAGATAACAGAAGTTGAAGTGTTGAATTCTGTGGTTGTTATATAACGTACCTGTACGCGGGTATGTTAAGGAAGCATATAAGTAATTTTTCGGGAAATTTAGACTTTTGAAGAAAATTTAGTTTAATAAATTACCAAAACCACTAATAAACGTAAACTGTTATTTACCAATGCATTCAGATAAAAGCGTGTCTAACGCAAAGACGTTCATCAACGCTACGGCATCACGTGACCTCTATTTATAGCAAAATTTTCCTTAATAAAAAGGCTTACAGAACAACACTACCCCGGAGTTTGATAATTTCTTTGATATAATATTGCTGAAAAACATCTTTTTTGTCTAAAGTGTGTTCCCACTATCTTGTCCGTAAAATATTTATTACACAAATTTGCACGAAACCTTACCCTTTGTTTTGAATTTTATACACATGAATCGAGATTTTTCGTACAACCATGCTTAACTCGGGATTCTAGCAGCACTTTCCGAGTTTGTCAAAACGCAAACTTTCAATCTGTAGAAATCGTATGTTTTGAAATATCCAGCTTATTGTTGTTCTGTTGCATTTTTTGGTCAAGAATGACGGACGATAGACCGACCGGGATACGTAATATAGCTGACTGTCTTCGAAAGAGAATAAAATCGATGAAAATAAATTAGCATACCTGTTTAATTAATTGAAATCCATGTGAATTTAACACAATATTTCCGTGTGTGCTGTCTTAGCAAAATTCTCTTTACACGACCTGATCAATTTCCAAGTTACTTGATGTACACATATGACGTCATCGGTGGTAGATTTCAATCATAATGACTGTTATAGTATAACAAAATTAAAACATTTCATTTTTGTTAATGTTTACAGGTTTCTAATCATTTTCTAGAGTTAAATTACATCGCTAAATACCGATATTACGAAAACCTGATTTCTAAAATTGACGTCATCTTGCCTACTATGACGTCATAATGCAGCACTGATTTAGTGTGTGCTTCCTTATGCGTAGTGTGTTGTGCAGAGATAATGGAAGTTGAAGTGTTGAATTCTGTGGTTGTTATATAACGTACCTGTAGTGTGTTGTGTAGAGATAACAGAAGTTGAAGTGTTGAATTCTGTGGTTGTTATATAACGTACCTGTAGTGTGTTGTGTAGAGATAACAGAAGTTGAAGTGTTGAATTCTGTGGTTGCTATATAACGTACCTGTAGTGTGTTGTGTAGAGATAACAGAAGTTGAAGTGTTGAATTCTGTGGTTGTTATATAACGTACCTGTAGTGTGTTGTGTAGAGATAATGGAAGTTGAAGTGTTGAATTCTGTGGTTGTTATATAACGTACCTGTAGTGTGTTGTGTAGAGATAACAGAAGTTGAAGTGTTGAATTCTGTGGTTGTTATATAACGTACCTGTAGTGTGTTGTGCAGAGATAACAGAAGTTGAAGTGTTGAATTCTGTGGTTGTGGGATTAATATTTTACTTTCTGGTTTCTTCTTTAATTTTTGCTTCAATCCTTTCTTAAAGGTTTTCCAGGCCACCCCTGGGTTCTGCCAAGGATTTCTTAATACCCTTTAAATAAAAAATATTTTTTTTATAAAGAATACGAATTAGAAAAAAAAAACAGAATATTTTAATGGTGAAGGATTACAGCTTTAAACATGCTTGTATGATGTGTATGGCATACAGCCTAACTGAATGTACTTATAGTCTAACCCATTTAAATCTAACTGAATCAAAAGGACATTTAGAAACAAAATCAGTAAATACTAAAACTGATTTTCAAAAATAAAATTTTATACCGTATTAGTGGAAATTTTAGCGAGACCCAAATTTAGCGATTTCTCCTTAAAAACTGGTATTTTATTTTTAGCGAGAAGTAATTTTAGCGATTTTAAAATGCTCACTAAAGAACCTAGTACAAATAACATGCGATTTATTTTTAGCGATATTCAATTTTAGCGATCTCAACAGCCTCGCTAATAATGCCAAAATTTCTACTTATACGGTATTTACACGTGAATTATTCAGGTAATGAAAATTAAAATTTACTTGAGAGCCTGTGTTAATTCTTTTCCTGCGTACTTCATTCCTTCTAGAGCAACAAAGAGTCGTAGAATCTCATTGGTACCCTGAAATGTTGTAAAAACTTACAATATTTTAGTTGACAACAACTTTTTGTTTATTTTCATTTCTTTACATATCAGTCTAACCTGCCTCAGATCATATGTTTATCTGGAGCTGCCCTTAAGATCATTTACTTACTGCATCACTAGTTAAAAAAGTTATGTTAATATACTTTACTTCAAACATTACATTTTACTCATGATCAAGTGCTTACAAACTAAAACAATAAAGATTTTGTTCTACTCTATATAAAACAATGACCCTGAAGCCTAAGTCATCTTAATTCCTACCTAAAATATTATCAATATTTGCCCATCCCTGAGATAATCTTAATTCCTACCTCAAATATCATCAATATTCGCCCATCCCTGAGATAACGCTCGTAAGGGTAGTCCTTCATGTAGCCTAGTCCTCCCAGGATCTGTAGACATTCGTTAACACATGTCCAGCATCCCTCAGAGCTGAAAATCTACAATGTCAATGTAACATCTACATGTCATGTCATTAACACACGTCCAGCATCCCTCTGAACAGAATATCTTCAATGTCAATGTAACATCTACATGTCATGTCATTAACACACGTCCAGCATCCCTCTGAACTGAATATCTACAATGTCAATGTAACATCTACATGTCATGTCATTAACACACGTCCAGCATCCCTCAGAACTAAATATCTACAATGTCAATGTAACATCTACATGTCATGTCATTAACACACGTCCAGCATCCCTCAGAACTAAATATCTACAATGTCAATGTAACATCTACAGCGACATGTCATGTCCACACGTCAGCATCTAAATATCTACCATGTCAATGTAACATCTACATGTCATGTCATTAACACACGTCCAGCATCCCTTAGAACTGAATATCTACAATGTCAATGTAATATCTACAGTGACATGTCATGTCATTAACACACGTCCAGCATCCCTCAGAACTAAATATCTACAATGTCAATGTAACATCTACAGCGACATGTCACGTCATTAACGCATGTACAGCATCCCTGAAAACTGAATATCCACAATGTCAATGAAACATCTACATGTCATGTCATTAACACACGTCCAGCATCCCTCTGAAATGAAAATCTACAATGTCAATGTAACATCATGTCATGTCATTAACACACGACCATCATCCCTCAGAACTGAATATCTACAATGTCAATGTAACATCTACATGTCATGTCAATAACACATGTCCAGCATCCCTCAGAACAGAATATCTTCAATGTCAATGTAACATCTACATGTCATGTCATGTCATTAACACATGTCCAGCATCCCCCAGAACTAAATATCTACAATGTCAATGTAACATATACAGCAACATGTCATGTCAATAACACATGTCCAACATCCCTTAGAACTGAATATCTACAATGTCAATGTAACATCTACATGTCATGTCAATAACACACATCCAGCATCCCTTAGAACTGAAAATCTACAATGTCAATGTCAAATCTACATGTCATGTCATTCGTTAACACACGTCCAGCATCCCTTAGAACTGAATATCTACAATGTCAATGTAACATCTACATGTCATGTCATTAACACACGTCCAGCATCCCTTAGAACTGAATATCTACAATGTCAATGTAACATCTACATGTCATGTCATTAACACACGTCCAGCATCCCTCAGAACAGAATATCTGCAATGTCAATGTAACATCTAAGCTACATGTCATCCCTCAGAACTAAATATCTCCAATGTCAATGTAACATCTACATGTCATGTCATTAACACACGTCCAGCATCCCTCAGAACTAAATATCTACAATGTCAATGTAACATCTACAGCTACATGTCATCCCTCAGAACTAAATATCTACAATGTCAATGTAACATCTACATGTCATGTCATTAACACACGTCCAGCATCCCTCAGAGCTGAATATCTACAATGTCAATGTAACATCTACAGTGACATGTCATGTCAATGACACACGTCCAGCATCCCTCTGAACAGAATATCTACAATGTCAATGTAACATCTACATGTCATGTCACTAACACACGTCCAGCATCCCTCAGAACTGAAATCTACAATGTTAATGTAACATCTACATCTACATGTCATGTCATTAACACACGTCCAGCATCCCTCTGAACAGAATATCTTCAATGTCAATGTAACATCTACATGTCATGTCATTAACACTCGTCCAGCATCCCTCTGAAATGAAAATCTACAATGTCAATGTAACATCATGTCATGTCATTAACACACGACCATCATCCCTCAGAACTGAATATCTACAATGTCAATGAAACATCTACATGTCATGTCAATAACACACGTCCAGCATCCCTCTGAACTGAAAATCTACAATGTCAATGTAACATCATGTCATGTCATTAACACACGACCATCATCCCTCAGAACTGAATATCTACAATGTCAATGTAACATCTACATGTCATGTCAATAACACATGTCCAGCATCCCTCTGAACAGAATATCCACAATGTCAATGTAACATCCCTCTGAAAAGAATATCTACAATGTCAATGTAACATCTACATGTCATGTCATTAACACACGTCCAGCATCCCTCAGAACAGAATATCTGCAATGTCAATGTAACATCTACAGCTACATGTCATCCCTCAGAACTAAATATCTACAATGTCAATGTAACATCTACATGTCATGTCATTAACACACGTCCAGCATCCCTCAGAACTGAATATCTACAATGTCAATGTAACATCTACATGTCATGTCATTAACACACATCCAGCATCCCTCAGAACTGAAAATCTACAATGTTATTGTAACATCTACAGCGACATGTCATGTCAATAACACACGTCCAGCATCCCTCAGAACTAAATATCTACAATGTCAATGTAACATCTACATGTCATGTCATTAACACACGTCCAGCATCCCTCAGAACAGAATATCTGCAATGTCAATGTAACATCTACAGCTACATGTCATCCCTCCGAACTAAATATCTACAATGTCAATGTAACATCTACAGTGACATGTCATGTCAATGACACATGTCCAGCATCCCTTAGAATTGAATATCTACATAGTCAATGTAACATCTACATGTCATATCATTAACATACGTCCAGCATCCCTCAGAACTAAATATCTACAATGTCAATGTAACATCTACATGTCATGTCATTAACACAAGTCCAGCATCCCTCTGAAAAGAATATCTGCAATGTCAATGTAACATCTACAGCTACATGTCATCCCTCAGAACTATAAATATCTACAATGTCAATGTAACATCTACATGTCATGTCATTAACACATGTCCAGCATCCCCCAGAACTAAATATCTACAATGTCAATGTAACATCTACAGCGACATGTCATGTCGATAACACACATCTAGCATCCCTGTGAACTGAATATCTACAATGTCAATGTAACATCTACATGTCATGTCATTAACACACGTCCAGCATCCCCCAGAACTGAATATCTACAATGTCAACATCCCTCAGAACTGAAAATCTACAATGTCAACATCCCTCAGAACTAAATATCTACAATGTCAATGTAACAGCTACATGTCATGTCATTAACAAACGTCAAGCATCCCTCAGAGCTGAATATCTACAATGTCAATGTAACATCTACAGCTACTTGTCATTAACACACGTCCAGCATCCATTAGAACTAAATATCTACAATGTCAATGTAATATCTACATGTCATGTCATTAACACACGTCCAGCATCCCTCAAAACTGAATATCTACAATGTCAATGTAACATCTACATGTCATGTCATTAACACTCGTCCAGCATCCCTTAGAGCTGAATATCTACAATGTCAATTAACATCTACAGCGACATGGCATGTCATTAACAAACATCCATCATCCCTCAGAACTAAATATCTACAATGTCAATGTAACATCTACATGTCATGTCATTAACACTTGTCCAGCATCCCTTATAACTGAATATGTACAATGTCAATGTAACATCTACATGTCATGTCAATAACACACATCCAGCATCCCTCAGAACTAAATATCTACAATGACAATGTAACATCTACATGTCATGTCAATAACACATGTCCAGCATCCCTCATAGCTGAATATCTACAATGTCAATGTAACATCTACAGCGACATGTCATGTCATTAACACACGTCCATCATCCCTCAGAACTAAATATCTACAATGTCAATGTAACATCTACATGTCATGTCATTAACACTCGTCCAGCATCCCTTAGAACTAAAAATCTACAATGTCAATGTAACATCTACATGTCATGTCATTAACACGCGTCCAGCATCCCTCAGAACTAAATATCTACAATGTCAATGTAACATCTACATGTCATGTCAATAACACACGTCCAGCATCCCTCAGAGCTGAATATCAACAACGTAACATCTACATCTACATGTCATGTCATTAACATACGTCCAGCATCCCTCAGAACTAAATATCTACAATGTCAATGTAACATCTACATGTCATGTCAATAACATACATCCAGCATCCCTCTGACCTGAATATCTACAATGTCAATTTGTTGACATTTAAAGCTACTATCCTGTCATATCAAAATACACAAAAAAGCTGCATCTTAGCCTGCATATAAGATAGAGATGATTAGCTGTATACTACTTTCTTTTTTTCTGACCCTGCATGTAAGACAAGAGACTTTAGTTATATACTACTTTCTCTGTTTTTTTTGATCTTGACATCTGACAGTAAGATCTTGTTGTTCTGACCTTGACTATGACAGTAATATCTTGTTGTTCTGACCCTAACTAACGGACAGTGACATTTGACGTAACCTTGACATCTGACAGTAAGTTCTTATTGTATTGACCATGACATCTGACAGTAAGATCTTGTTGTTCTGTTCTTATTGTATTGACCATGACATCTGACAGTAAGATCTTGTTGTTCTGACCTTGACATCTGACAGTAAGATCTGATTGATCTGACCTTGAAATCTGGTAGTAAGATCATGTTGTTCTGACCTTGACATCTGACAGTAAGATCTTTAAACGGGACATGTTTTATGTTGGACCTCATGAAACTCAAATTTTAATAATCAGTTCTTTCACTTTAATATAAGTTCAATTTCATTGTTGGTCATTATGACCATGACATCTGACAGTTGGTTTGTTTGGCTAGATCTTGTTGAATTGTAAAGATGGATCTTTTAATTGTAAAACAAGACCTTGACCATGACACTTTTCAAAGACTTGTGAAAATGTATATTTAGTCAAAATATATCAAGTTTTATATTTCAAGTGTCATAAAACATCGCTAGTTGCAACTTGGAAATCTTAAATATGTTACCGTATCGGGTTTTACAATATGTTTCTGACTTATCAAATGGTCAAAGATGGTGTTTCTTTTGTAAATTATGAAATAAAACAATTTGTTTGTGTTAAACTTTATTTCTTGAATAATGACCTTCGTGTAAACGTTTAAGAAACGTTTAGAGCATGTAATCATGTTGTGTAATCGTTTCGACCTTGACACATCTGACAGCAAGATCTTGTTTTGACCTTGAAATCTGACAGTAAGTTCTTGTTGTTCTAACCTTGACATCTGACAGCAAGATCTTGTTGCTCTGATAATGACATCTGACAGTAAGATCTTGTTGTTCTGACCTTGACATCTGACAGTAAGATCTTGTTGTTCTGACCTTGACATCTGACAGTAAGATCTTGTTCTGACCTTGACATCTGACAGTAAGATCTTGTTGTTCTGACCTTGACATCTGACAGTAAGATCTTGTTTTGACCTTGACATCTGACAGTAAGATCTTATTGTTCTGACATTGACATCTGACAGTGAGATCTTGTTGCTCTGATATTGACATCTGACAGTAAGATCTTATTGTTCTGACCTTGACATCTGACAGTAAGATCTTATTGTTCTGATATTGACATCTGACAGTAAGATCTTGTTGTTCTGACATTGACATCTGACAGTAAGATCTTATTGTTCTGACATTGACATCTGACAGCAAGATCTTGTTCTGACCTTGACATCTGACAGTAAGATCTTGTTGTTCTGACTTTGACATCTGACAGTAAGATCTTATTGTTCTGATATTGACATCTGACAGTAAGATCTTATTGTTCTGACCTTGACATCTGACAGTAAGATCTTGTTCTGACCTTGACATCTGACAGTAAGATCTGATTGTTCTGACCTTGACTATGGCAGCTTCTAATGAGACATCAGGTTTCTCATGAAGATCCAGTGTTCCTGCAGTCAGGTAAGCCATGCTCTCCATCGCATACGTCGTAATCGTCATCTGAGCAAACTTTTCCTGAAAATAAAAATAAGAACCAATTTCAACCAAACACTAAATCATGTTTGTTTTTTATGAGTTTTCAATGAAAAGAGTTTAAAATGTAATTGAAATGCACATTACATCAGCATACCTTACTGAGTAAATTAACTTTGAAAGAAATCACCTTTTAAACCTATCTATGAACCTCAATACGATGAAATGGAATTAAATTTTTCACCAATCTGTAAACAAGGGCTGACAAATAGATTTTTCAAACACTTGCCCACAGGGAAGTGCATGGTCAAACTTCAATTTTTACTTGCCCCACCACCACTTTATATTCATCATAATGAATTAACTTGTCTCTAAATCAAAATATTTTGCAGCCTAGGATTGTTGTTTTGAATATTGGCGACATTTAAAACCACCTTCCATTAAGTACTATGTACCATACAATCTGTTGATTGATTGTATACTGTTTTACGTCCCATTCGAGAATTTTCTACTCATATAGAGACGTAAAATTGCTATCATATTTCAGCTATAGTCATGATATCTGCTATTTGTTTAAAATAATGGTTTCGGACCTTTGTTTTTTTCTTTTCTCATACCTGGTATGCTTAGACGGTTTTGTACTGAGCTTTTCACTAACATTGTTATGGACGATGTACTTATCATCGGCTTTTGATCGAATGATCGTTTTCTGCCTTATAACTGTCAAAACTTTCTCCATTTCTCCAATGCCATTTTGTCACTTTCAATTAAGTACAAATACATGTACTTATAAATTTGGGTAAAACTTGTAATGAATTGCATAATGATGACACATTTAAACTGGTTCACATACGAAGTGTGACAAACAAAGGAAGATAACTCTTACAACAAAATAATTTTTATTTCGTGGAAAACTATGACATTTTTAAAAATATTTATTGATTTTTTTTTAAAGTCATTTGCCCACGGGCAAGTGCCTATTAAAAATTCACTTGCCCGCCTCTTAAATTCACTAGCCCCGGGCGTCGGGCAATGGGATTTGTCAGTCCCTGGTAAAGATGCATTCTTTCTAATAATGCTTATTTTAACAATTATTTCATTACTGTAGACGTACTTTTTTCCACGGGGTCATAATTTCGCGGAATCTTAATTTTCCTTTAATCCGCGGGTTGAAAATTACGCGGATTTCTCAGACTGTCACTATATGCCTTGCATTTATATTAAGTACGCTTGGATAAATTTCCGCGGAAAATTTGTTACCATGTACATAGCAAAATTAATACCACGCAGAAAAAAGTACTTCTACAGTATACAGTAAAACACGGTTATAGCGAAGTCCTCGGGACCTGTGAATTTAATTCGCTATATCCGTAATTCGTTATATCCGAATAACGAATTCGTACAAACATTATAGCGAATTCGCAATATGCATGTTTTCCTTCAGGTATTACGACCAGGTTTTATAATGAATTTAATTATATATACAAATGCTTAAAGGAAATAAAGTCAGTTTAATTTATCAATTTTTTTATAATCATTCAAAGTTCGTTATAAAAGATGTAAATTTCATTATATTTAACCTCAACGGGACTCAAAATCAGTTCGCTATATCCGTAAATTCGTTGTATCAGAGTTCGTTATAACCGTAAATTTTTACAAAGATTTGTTAACAATTTTGCCGGGGATTCGCTATATCCGTGAATTCGTATATGTTTAACTGTAGATGTGTTTAGTAGAAGTAAAGTTTTGTCCCTTTACCTGAATTAGCCCAAACTCTGAGAGTGGGGCCCCAAACTGTTTCCTAGTGACGGCATGCTCGCACGTCATTCCTGTCAACACAGAACAAAAGCCTGTCATTTCTAGGTAAGCTTCTTACAATTATGTGAATGAAAAAAAAGATTCAAATTGAGATTATAAATTTCTGCACAAAAAAATTTATATCCCTAAGCAAACTTTCATTTGTACATTTATAATAGTATTAGTAACAAAATCCGATTGGCTGTGAAGTATGTTACTATATTTAATCACCAATTAGCTTTTTGAGGATTCCAGCCCCAGAACTTCCCATGCTGAACCGGCCACTGTTTAAAATATTCATGGCCACCTGAAATTTTCAAAATCAGTTTAAACTTTCTTTTAAAATTCTTGTACCTTTGTGATTCTTATTTTCTTACTAATATATCAATTAGATATAATGAAAATATTGCATCTTAGATTTCACTTATATGACTTTAGAAGGCTTAAGGAGAAATCTCACTTTAGTTAAAAGAAATATAGAAAGATTTTTCTTTTTTTAATAGATATCTGTTTTTTTTTTTTACATACCAAATCAGCCCCCTATCTTTTGAAGTAGACTCTGACTGACCTTGAACCCTCCACCGACCTCACCAAGGACGTTTTCTAAGGGAACAGGGGTGTTCTCAAAATGAACCTCACATGCTATTCAATAAGATGTATGTGTAATTGATCATTTGCAGTATACATGACATTGTTTATAAATGTTTACACTCAAAGAGACTACATTTACTGTAAAATAAAATCACAGTTCCCATTCTAAGCCTCTTTCTGAAGTGACTTACTGTTAGATCCACGGATCCCTAACTTGTCCTCGGGTTTTCCACTCGTGACTCCTCCAAAAGCTCGCTCCACAATAAAAGCTGTCACTTTGTCCTTCTCTACACCCTTCATTTTAAAATTTGTTAATAAAATTTGATATTTACAGAGTATATGTATTTGTTATAATGCTCGTTAAACTTGATATCATCAAGACGGTTCAAATTGAACATTCAAATCAAGATTATAATTAATAGTTGATAAAATAGGAATTAATTTGAATGAAACTTTAAAGGTAACTGTCCAGACTAATAGTTAGCAAGACAGCATTTGACACAATCAAATTACAAATCGAATCTGTTTCACACAGGTAGAAACTTACACATCACACAAACAAGCCCATAAATAATGAAATGTACATCCCCATAGCTCTGTTCTGAAGGAATAGTTACTGGTACAATGATCTTGTTTTATATGTCTAACTAAAGCTTCACTGCCTAGGATTCAAATATTTGTAGACAGAACTAGATTACCATAACTCAAGTATAAAGTACTGATTCAATGACAGTCACTGTTATTATAGCATCTGATGTTTCAAATTTCTGTTTGGTTTGTATATACAAATTATACAATATGAATAAATCAGACCCATATATATTCATATCTTTCTTATCAGAAAATTAATTACAGAAAATGGTTTTGATAAGCAAATAATAATCTATACTTACATCTACCATGACTTTTGTTTTAGCAAACACAGTAAATATGTCTGCGATTCCTCCGTTGGAGATCCAGATTTTTCCTCCGTTCAACAGAAATGTCTTCCCATCCTCTGACAGTGTACCTCTGGTCTGAATGGAGGCCGCATCACTGCCACTGTATCAGAAAAATAGTGCACAAGAAATGAATGGAGGCTGCATCACTGCCACTGTATCAGAAAAAAAAAGCACAAGATGTGAATGGAGGCCGTATCACTGCATCTGAATCAGAAAAAATAGTACACTAGAAATGAATGGAGGCTGCATCACTGACACTGACAGTGAATCAGAAAAAATAGTACACTAGAAATGAATGGAGGCCGCATCACTGCCACTGTATCAGAAAAAATAGTGCACAAGAAATGAAGGGAAGCCGCATCACTGCCACTGAATCAGAAAAAATAGTACACTAGAAATGAATGGAGGCCGCATCACTGCCACTGTGTCAGAAAAAATAGTACACTAAAAATGAAGAAAGATGGCATCACTGCCACTGTGTCAGAAAAAATAGTACACTAGAAATGAAGAAAGACAGCATCACTGCTACTGTGTCAGAAAAAAATAGAGCACAAGAAATTTAACTCCCTCTGGCAGGGATTTTCCACTCACTTTTGGGAACTTGGAATTGGGAATTTTACGACATTTTATCATTTATTATAAATTTTATCGTATGATGTTTTTCAAGAAATAAATACAATAAGATGAATAAAAGTTGATCTTTTACTTAGTTATTCAGAACTATGAATCAGAGAATTGATCATTATAAAAAAAAATTTTATCAGATTCTTCAAAATTTTGTTCATTTCATAAAAATTTCCAAACCTAAACATGTTTGTATTTTGTGAATTATATTCAGGTTAAAATTTTTGCAATATTGAATTGCTTTCAAGAATTGAATATATATTTCATTTTTGGGAAAAAGTGCAAATGTGGTTTTGCAATTTTTTTTGAACTGAATTAAACTTAACATGGAGTAGTGGAAAATCCCTGCTGTGGTCTAACTATGTTCATATAATATAAATACCAGGTATATCACAGTTTATCCATAGATACAACTGTATGAAGTAACAAATTTACAAAATTAATAAAATGTTTTGAAAGTAAAATAAGATTAATGAAAATGTGAGATCAAGAATCCAGATATGTAATAAAAAAAATTTTGACAGAGCTCAAAAGAGTACATATGTTTGATAAAAAAATATCTTGAAAGACTTCTATGAATCAAATATCTCCAGAAGTGGTTTCAAGGTAAATAAGTCAAGAGATAAAATTCTTACGCATTATTGAATTGCTCTTCATACAGTGTATATATATTTATACCTAAACAGTGCAAATGGGGAATTTTGATACATGTAATTTTCTTTGAACTGAATTAAACTTAACACAAGGAAATGCAAGTTAAAAGTATGAAAAAATTGAGAATACAAAGAGCAGATAACTCAGTGCCCCTTGTCCTTCACTCACCTGGAGGGCTCAGTTAGACAGAAGGCGGCTGTGTGTTCCCCCGTGGCCAGTTTAGGTAGGTATTTAGCTTTCTGTTCATCATTTCCAGCAATCAATATGCCCTGTGTAAATAGAGAGGAATTCTATAACAATGCAGTGTACTCATACACAAAATATCAGGCAAATTAAATAATGAATTGTTGGTTTTTGTACATAAAAAACTAGATAAGCAACCTAGTTTGACATGGATATCCATTATAAGAGTCCAAGGTGTTTGTCATTTTGAAGAAAATTCATCATGTCCCACTTAAATAACTTCACATTTATATCTGTTTTTGATAATGAGACAGACTTGACCTGTAAGTCTATAGACTGGTGGAGACAGATTTTATCTTTAAGCCTATAAACTAATGGAGGCAGATTTCACTTTTCAGCTTATAGACTGTTGGAGATTTACCTTTAAGCCTATAGACTGTTGGAGATTTACCTGTAAGCCTATAAACTGATGGAGATTTACCTTTAAGCCTATAGACTAATGGAGATTTACCTTTAAGCCTATAGACTGATGGAGATTTACCTTTAAGCCTATAGACTGTTGGAGATTTATCTTTAAGCCTATAGACTGATGGAGATTTACCTTTAAGCCTATAGACTGTTGGTGATGTATCTTTAAGCCTATAGACTGATGGAGATTTACCTTTAAGCCTATAGACTGATGGAGATTTACCTCTAAGCATATAGACTAATGGAGACAGATTTAACCTTTAAGCCTATCGACTGATGGAGACAGATTTTAAGCCTATACACTGATGGAGACAAATGTTACCTTCAAGTCTGTACACTGATGAAGATTTACCTTTAAGCCTATTGACTGATGAGCAGCCAGTGTGACTGCTATTGACCCATCCAAGGCAGTGATCTCAGCCAGGCGAGCGAACTCAGTAGCATTCAGTCCAAGTCCCCCTTAAAACAAAGTTATGAATGAGCTGTTGTAAGAATTAAATGAATAAACATGAGGAAGGTATACTTAACCAGTATTCAAGAAAAACTGCAGCATTTGTATCAAACATTTTTTTGTAAGCAGACTGACATCAGGCTCCAGGATCATGAAACAGACTTAGACTTAGGTCAAATTTACAAATCTCTGTAAAATGATTGTTAATTATTGAACTGATCTAAAAATTTGCAATTAACAACATGTCTCTTTATCTACACATGATCATAGTTAAGAATCATCCAAAATCAACACAATAAAACACTGTATAATTAATCCTGGAACAATTTTTGAGCGAAGTATATCCCAACAGAACTATATCAAAACAGTCCCCGTTTCAAATAAGTACCCATATATATACTAAATGACCATCACTCCGAAGGAGTGATGGGGTATAAACAAATGACCGTCACTCCTAATGAGTGTCCAGGTGAAAACAAACTATTCTAAAAATAGAACGAGTGACCGGGAGTTATATAATTACTGCAGAATATTAAATAAAGAAATAAAATAATTAATTTAGAAAAAGACTGACTTAAAAATATGTAAAATTTTGACTTAATCTTAAAATGTTTCATGATCTCGGGGTCAGTGAATTTAATCTTCCAAGTAAAGATAAAAGATGAAAAAAATGACAATAATAGCAATTTAAAAATCATATGCAGAGATAATTACAAGTAAAATATCTTTCAGCAATACATTTGAAAAATGACACATTTAAACTTAACAAGAATATGAATCATTTTCTGTTTCATTTAGAGAAGAGATCTATGATAATCTGCATGTATAAATAAAGAAAATTTAATACATGTAGGTCTGCTGAGTTAAAGTTGTGAATAATTTTTTTCTTAGTGAATGACATTTATTTACCAAACCTACCATACTCCTCAGGAATCTGTTGTCCAAAGAGTCCAAGGTCTTTTAAACTCTGTAAAACTTCATCCGGAATCTTTGCATTTACATCAATACTTTTGGAATCCACTGAAAGGCAATCACAAAATCAGGAAAACAAACAAAAGTCAGATTAATAATAAAAGTAGTTTGAATTTTTATTTAAATTTCTGGAATACAGCTATTTTCTCACATACATCATGTACATAGTGAATTGTACATTTAAATACTTAGTTAAATAAATTTCATTCATAAAAATTTGAATCTTTTTATTTCTGAACTGTCAACATAAATAAAAAAAATGTTGGAACAAATCATATCAGATCACCGACTCATTACTTAGATCCACCACTCTGCCACTCATTACTTAGATCCACCACTCGTTACTTACATGCCTCGTTGAAGAATTTTTCCACTGGTTGTACCATTTGATTAAGATTTTCCAATTCTTCTTTAGTCATTTCAGGATAAACTAATGTCTCCTATAAATTATAAAACACAAATATGACAGCTCTCGTGTATATTTTATTTTAAGTAATAGATTGTATGGATTTTCCATAACAAATTAGGAATTAGACACAGGCCCTTAGAAATTAGAATTTTATAATATCTTCAAAAACAGGGGAAATTTTGTGTAATTTTGAAAGACAATTTCTACAAAAGAGCATCAGAATTCAATAAAGTTTATTATCACCCCCCCCCCCTTCCCCCAATATGAAATAGAGATTGTCAACTTGTCCTTCATGTTATCTATATCAAGGAAAAGATAATATTTATTACTTTAGCAAACCTCCCCAGAAAGAGCTCTCTAATGAATGGTGTATTTGTCAACGGTCGGCTCTTCTTAATTCGAGTTTCCTCTGTTTGTTTTTCGGTCACAGCTGCATTTGAGTCTTCTTTTGTCACCGCCTGTGTCGAATAACATCTCAGAACTTTAGGACAAACAGAAGGATCTTTACAATCTCTAAAGATTGTTATCCGCAAGGAATTCGCAAAAATCCTCTGAACTGGAATACGTAACATTTTGGCTGTACTTGAACTCCGTCTGCTTGTGTACACCGATCCCGACGGACGACCAACAAGAATAACCAAGTACAACTTACCTAATTTCGGCGCATGCGCTTTCTCAACACAACAATCATGTCTTCTCGAATACTGGGATCTGCCAGTCCTTTGACTAAATATCTCTGTCGTTCCCAGCAGGTAATACACGATGCTTCATACAATCAGTAAAATCCCATGCTCTACCTGCATAGGTGCTTGGAACACAAATGGACATACTTCTTTCTGATTTAAATGAGATGAGTTCGTTTTTTGAAGTGAAGGTCATGTATCAGATCTGAAAATTACACTTCACCGGTCGCTGAAAACTTCTGTGAAATCTTGTTAGAATGTTCATGAAAAGTCCTGTTTTATCAACAAGTGTTCAAAACTTGCAAAAGATATAATCTCTAGTACATCTGTTTAAAAAAATAATTGTGGAAAGAAAATGACCCGAATTTTCTCTAGAAAAAAAAGAGCTATAGGCTAATAGGATAGCATATCCTATTAGCCTATAGCTAGGCTTAATCTTTGACTCTCCAACATCATACATTCACCATACATTGGTTTTTGGGTATTCCATACTCCAGCATGCTAGAGATTCACAGCGAGATACTTTTTTCTTTGCGCTGCGTAGCCTCTAGCATCCATGGTAATAATTATCGCCACTGAAACCACAGGTGGAAATAAATCGTTTATTAAAGAATTCAGGCTTTGAACATTAGGGAATGAGACAAAACAATAAAATTTTCATTATTTGTGATTGAACTTGCACATAAAACAATGTTAATCTTTCGAAACAAAACTTAATGTAAACAAAACAAGTTGTTTACAATTTTTAAGATAATTAATAGAAAATTGTTATTTTTGTATGAAAAAATGTAAAAACATTTTTGACCAGCAATTTAATTAACGTGAAGTCAAATTGAAAGTACTTCTGTTGACAAATTGAAATAATTACGATTTTAGATAATGAACAATGATGCATACTGAATGAATTAGATTTTATGATTTCTTTTATATTTTATAAAAATAAGTGGTCGCAAATACCAAATTAGAAGATAGTTATTTCAATTCTAATGCAATCATTGGATTTTGCTTGTTGTGTTTGTCTTGTTTTGTTTTTATACGCCCGTCTTAAGACGGGACGTATTATGTTATAGGCTTCGTGTCCGTAGCAGCAGAAAACAATCATTATGATCAGAAAGTTTTCTCATGTCCGGAAATCATAACTTTAATACTATAAGGCCTGATTATCAAACTTTGTCAGCTGATATTTAAGGTAGAAGGTGTGTCATGCACAAAAAGTTGGCTCTCTTTTATATCTTATAGCCAAATAATACTTTATTAAAGAAAACTATTTTAAATCAAAACTTGGCCAGTTTCTGCATCTTAGGTAGGAGGTGTGTCGAATTTTAAGGTCACTGTGACCTTTAATTTAAGAGGAATTTTTAAAAAAAATGTCTTTTTTTTTCGGCATTTACACATTCAAAAAAATGTAAAACTATTGGTTTTATTAGAAAAATGTTAAATCAAGAAAATACTTATTTTTTTAGCATAAACTTAAAATATATACAAATATAATGTATGTTAATATTCCACCTTGTCTCCCAGGTCGTCATTTGGGCGAGCACTGGTCAAGAAAATTTTGATAACAGAAAATTGCATGTCAAATTAGAGAGAGAAATTAATGAGTTTAGTGTGAGGAGTAGCTGTCAGAGCCCTGCTTTTATATCCCTTGAGTATTGGGCCAAATGGGTAAGCCTGTTGGATTAAAAATAGCTCTTGTTGGCTAGCCAAAGTTTTAAAATGAATTTGATGAGAAGTAATGACACCACATATTGGTGGAAACTATTTTGATATTACATAAAGAATTAAAAATTAATTTTATGGGAATGAGATGTCCAAACAATAATATTTTCAATTAACTGTGATTGAACTTGCACATAAAACAATGTTTTATATGTTTTAAAAATGTTTTATGCAATGGAATCCAATAATCTTTTGGGAGTAAACAAAACAAGTCATCCGGTTAAAGATTAATTAATGTGTTCAATGTAGAAAATCTGACATGTCTCTTTATTTCTTCAGAGCATGATTTTATAGGCATCCTTCGAATTAGGAAAACTGTTGGTCAGTTTATATTTGATGGCCAGCCTTTTATTTCCAAAATTAATTAGGTAGATTAAATTGAAAGTAATTTGATATTGTTTACAAATTGAAATAATTGGCAAGGTATAGAAATCTATGAATGATGCAATATTTGTTATAATTAATGCCTAGATTTTATGGATTTTTTTATATTTGTGTAAAAATCATTGAAATCTTAAAATCAAATTAGAAGATAGTTATTTCAATTCTAATGCAATCATTGGATTTTGTTTGTTGTGTTTGTCTTGTTTTGTTTTTTTATATAATATCTAAGTCATGAAGCATTGTGTTCTTTCGTCACTATATTATGATGTCACGATGAAAATATTTCACTCTTGTTAATGCTCGTTTTACTGCTTCAAACATCAGTGCACTAGCCAATCAAAACTTGGTTTATCAAACACTTGCGTTTGAATTATAATTTATATTATGATGTTTTTGTCAGGTGGTCTTCCCAGGATGGAGGGCAGCCTCAACACAAGCTGAGAGGAAGGTCAAGGTCAATGTGCCAGAGACGGTGGTATCCACACTCCCTAATGGAATGACAGTAGCAACAGAGAGTCTGGGCACGCCCACATGTACTGTAAGTCTTGTTAGAGTTCTGTTGGTGATACACAGGTAGACTGGGCACGCCCACATGTACTGTAAGTCTTGTTAGAGTTCTGTTGGTGATACACAGATAGACTGGGCACGCCCACATGTATCATATTGGCATGGTACTTTTATTATTATAAATTCGAAGTAAACAATTTTTACTAAAATTATGCAGTAAATTCATGTAGGTCATGTTGATTTTCAAAAGAAAAGAGTGAAAATTTTGAATCTAAAATGAAAAAAAATTGTAATGAAAATATAAAGTAACCACTCATACTATGAAATGAGTACTTTTGAGGAATTATTTACCAATTTTCTGACTGTGATAATGAATGCTTACAATGTGAAGTCTGACAATGTTTTACAAGGAGGACTGTTATCTGATAGGTTGGTCTGTGGATTGATGTCGGGAGTCGATATGAGACAGCCAAAAACAACGGGGTGGCTCACTTCTTAGAACACATGTTCTTCAAGGTAAACACGTCCGTTTTATTGAAAATAGAAACATTGAGGTCAGTAAAAAAAAAATTGTTCATGATAATCGAGGAAAAAAGTAACAGTTTACATGATTTACTAGAAAAGACTTTAACACTAAAGATTTATTAATAAGTAAAAGAAAAAGGATTAAATATACTAATTAGAATTTATGAAGAATTGTGAAGTAATTTATTATGAATGTACAACATGGAATCACAGGAAATTTATCTCTTGATCAATTTAACATTTCTTTAAATAGCTGGAAAAAAATTCGAAAACAATTCAAAATGTTTTTTGAAATGAGTGCTAGTAAGTTTTTAAGACAGTTTTTTTGTAATTTAGGGGACAGGAAAACGGTCGCGAACTCAGTTAGAGTTAGAGGTAGAGAACATGGGGGCCCATCTGAACGCCTACACATCAAGGGAGACCACTGTGTTCTACGCTAAATGTTTATCCAAAGACGTAGAAAAAGGTAAAGACAATCAAACCATGACAGTAAATATAAAATATTTTAAAAATAACAATAATAAAATCCATGAAGATAAGTATTTGATAGAAAAAAAAAATGCTGCAATAAATGAAAACATTTAGCAGGCAGCCATAAAATTGATTTTTGTCTCTCAGAATCATGATAAGAATTGGTATTTGAATCCCTTGTTTATGCAGTTGTTCAGTTACAAAGTTTTCTATTTCCAAAGTAAAGACAGGAATTTATGGTTTTATTTGGAACTAAAAATTCTCATTTTCAAGAAACTGCAGAATAATGTTTGACAATGTCAATCCCTAGTGTTAGTGTTCCTAATAGATGAGATAAAAGTTTTCTAATTTCTCATGTTTAAATTCATTTTAGCCATGGACATCCTGTCCGACATTATACAGAACAGTAAACTAGACGAGCAGGACGTGGAACGAGAGAGGGACGTGATTCTGAGGGAAATGGAGGTAACCACCGACAATGTTCTTAGTTACATGTAGTTAATATCAACACACCTAGTAAGTAAGATGAGCGCAACATAGAATGAGATGGGGTAGCCACATGAATTTGAACAAATATATTTTAAAACCATAGCTTTTATAGACATAATCATAAAATACTGAATTTTTTTTATCAGAATGATCTGATCGATTTTAAAAGTAAATTTTGCAGTTACATGGAAATCTTGTTTTGTATTAGAGGACCTGTAAAATTTTGAAATCTGTTAACAGGAAGTAGAAACCAACATGCAGGAAGTGATATTTGACCACCTACACGCCACGGCCTACCAAGGCACACCGTTAGGACGGACGATTCTAGGACCTACACAGAATATCAAGTGAGTAAATGTCTAACAAACATAGGACCCTCACAAAATATCAAGTAAATGTCTAACATAGGACCCACACAAAATATCAAGTGAGTAAATGTCTAACATACATAGGACCTACACAGAATATCAAGTGAGTAAATGTCTAACAAACATAGGACCCTCACAGAATATCGAGTAAATGTCTAACACATATAGGACCCACACAAAATATCAAGTGAGTAAACGTCTAACAAACATAGGACCCTCACAAAAGAATCAACTTTGTTAATTCTCTTGTTTGACCAAGACGTGTACTGAATACAGGCTTACATTCGCCCAATCACAGTTCCATTTATTAAATTAGACTGCGTTCTTTGACTTTAGACAAGGGCGAAAATAAAATGAGGGTGAAAATTTCACTGTATACAGTATTTGAAAGGTTGATGTGTGTAGATTATACCACACGTTTTGTCTTAAGTCATTTTCTCATTGTTATTATCCCTGACAATGATTATTCTACAGTACCATAATTTACGGAATATAGGTCAATACTTTTTTTCTCAGAACCGCTGGGGTCGCCCAATATACAGAATTCGACCTATTTAAGGCTCAAGTTTACGAAAAATGCCCCCAATCAGTAAAATTTACGTCAATTTCAAAGCAAATTCGTGCCACTTTCGTAACTTTTTTGATTATTTTTCTCAAAAAAATTAATGCCCCGGTAAACAATAAAATATTTATTCTATAGCTTTCTTACAAAATAAATTCCATTAATTATCTGTTGATGACAAAGGAAAACAACATTGCTTCATCTATTAAATAATTCCTCAACGTATTATCCATGAACATCATGCGGTATCCATCTTGTGAAGTTAGGAAGTCGCGATCGTGTACTAAAAGTAAAACCGCAACCGTAATTAACCAGGCTGAAAAAATATAGGGTAGGTAGGTAGGCAAATTTTTTTTTTTGAAATTTTTTTTTTAACTTCTTTAATCAAAACGTGTGTAGAAGTAACATTAATGACAAAAGAAATGGTGTTTTCAAGCATTTCTATGACTTAAACTTACAATAGAAAGGTGACTCAAACTTCTTAATGTCTTGAAAAGCTTGCAAAGTTGGAGACTATAATTCCCTGGGGGAAATCTTGCACTTCATGATGGGACAAAAGCATTAAAAAATTTTTTAGGGTCGGCACTATAAATTAGGGTCGGTCGGGAAAGCGGAAACAAACATATTTTTTTTCTAGGCCTTATTTTCTTGATACGTTCATGTCACGGAATTACCCCGGTAATTTTAGGGGTTTACCTTTCTGATACGTTGTATCTGCGTAAGAATCTTTAGAAAATGGGAAACAAAGCCTCGTCCTATATAGTAAGTTCGTCCTATCTTAGGATTTTTCAAAAATTAAGGCTGAAAATGAGCCTTTCGACCTATATACCCCATCGACCTATAATGCCGAAATTACGGTATTTTATTCAATGCTTTAACTCTTCTTTCTGCCTGCAATACAATCAAAAGAGTGCTAAACAGTTGTATACCTGTTGGTTAAAATATAAATCCGATGTAAAACATTTTTGTCCTTGATCTTTTCAATTACTCACGTTTCCTCAATCCTTTCCTTGTAGATCCCTAAAGAGGCAGGATCTGACCAACTTTATAAAAACTCACTACACACCCTCCCGCTTTGTCCTCGCTGGGGCTGGAGGTAAGATTAACAATTATAAAAACTCACTATACACCCTCATGCTTTGTCCTCGCTGGGGCTGGAGGTAAGATTAACAATAAAAACTCACCTACACCCTCCCGCTTTGTTCTCACTGGAGATAAGATTAATAATAAAAACTCACTTCACACCCTCCCGCTTTGTTCTCTCTGGAATGGGAGGTAAGATTTTTAGATTAACAATAAAAACTCACCATACACCCTCCCGCTTTGTTTTCGGTGGGTTTGAAAGTAGAATTAATTTAGATTTTTTTGTCTTACATGAAGAAAAGAGAGGCTGATAATTATGTGAATGACACTTTTGGGCATTGCTACATGTAATTATCAGTGCTTGACTTAGCTGTAAATCAGTTCTCTTTTTCATGAAAAAGAGAGAACATTACCTTTAGTTTATTTACCTGGTTTATATCTCTTTGTCCTATTGATTGACATATTGGATGGTTTGTTAGGTGTTGAACATCAGAAATTGAAAGATCTTGGAGAGAAGTACTTTGGAAACCTCGGTAAAACTGATGACACTTCGCTACAGAAAGACGTATCGTTCAAAGAGCCGTGCCGCTTCACAGGGGGAGATGTAAGTTTACGTGTAACATTACAGAATGTGGTGTGTGTTAAACCATGCTGAAATACAAAATTTGAAGAAATAACAGAATCTGATATACAAGCAAAATATTAAAATTGGAAATAAATTTAATTCAATACTTTTGTTTTGTGTTTAGCATTTATTGTACATATATAACAAAGTAAAGAAAAACTGAATTTTCTCTCAGAAGACTGAGCAACTATTCGTAATGCTGGGTTCCTCTTTGTAGGTGAGGATCCGTGATGACTTCATGCCGCTCTGTCACGTGGCTATCGCCGTGGAGACATGCGGGTGGAAGGACCCTGACAACATCCCGCTGATGATCGCTAACATGGCCTGCGGGAGCTGGGACCGCTCAATGATGGGGGGTAAAGACCTAGTCAGTCTGCTAGCAACGAAATTCGCCGGCAACCCAGCCGCTCACAGCTTTATGTCCTTCAACACGAACTACTCTGACACGGGACTCTGGTAAGATGGCCTACCGACATAGGGGCTCGGTTTACACCAGTCTCAGCTTCATCATTATAGTCCAATCCACACTTTACAATAGTTATTTCCCTTTTGCAGGGTCAACCAATTGCAAATGTTCAAAAGGGAAAGCAATGACATTTCTTCTCTTTATGCTACTTAACATTTGGGTGTGCTCCAATAAATCTACTGTGTTTAAATTTTTTTCTTTTGATATATGGGCAGCCCCATCTTGATGATATCAATGTACAAGATGCGCATAATATTTCCAGTCAGATGACATACCAGAAAACTATAATGGCTACTGTGAGGATTCTATGGGTTTTTCCCCAAAGATGGCGGCCAAGGGACATAATTTTGAAAAGTGTGGATTCAACTATAATGATCCTCTTACTCAGGGTCTGCCATATTTTGAGTTAATACCTTCAACTAGTGTCCTAATACACAGCAATTATTAACTCACAGGGGCTGAAATCGTGTATACTTTTCTGATCACAGTTTGTCTGTAGTCTGTCTAGCTGTCAGTAATTGGCCTAAATCTGTAAACTTTTCACCTTTTTGACTTCTTCACCAGAACCTCTGAGCCAGTTTCAACTAAAATTGCTAGAAAGCATCTTTGGATGAAGGGAATTCAGATTTTAAATAAAGGACCACATCCTCATACAAAGAAACTGTAAAAATCAGGTGGCATATTTTAAAAATCTTCTCAAGAACCACTGGGACAAAAGATAAACTTATGGAAAACCTCCTTTACATAGTGTAGATTCAAATCTGATTATAGCATGATCCCTGGGGTTAGGGTGGGATTTCAATGAGGGATCAAAGTTTTACATGGGAATCTATTGGAAAAAAATTGTTTTCTCAAGAACACCACAGCCATGTTTAGTCAGCATATTGATATGGAAACATCCTCAGGTGGTGTTGAATCAAGCATGTTTTGATCATAACACACCAGGGTTGGGAGTTATGGGTCACAATGAAGGATCAAAGTTTTAAAAAGGAATGTGTGGGGGAAAATCTGTAAAATAATTTCCTGCCAGGTGAGCAATCTGGCCAATGAGTATCTTATAGAAAGTGGATATTAAACGAAGTGTACAAAAAATGTAAACTTTCTGCATAGACAATTCAGGAATTTTTATTATGCATGTGCACTGAGAAAATTTAAAGAAGTGCACATATAAAAATGTGGAAACTTTTAAGTGCACCTTCAGAATGTATTTTAAGATTTTATTATTTTTTTCCTAGGGGAGCATATTTCATTGGAGAGGGACAACACATGCAGAAAATTACAGACTATATAACAACTGAATGGTAATTAGAAAATTACAGATTACATAACAACTGAATGGTAATTAGAAAATAACAGACTATATAAATTCAACTGAATGGTAATAATTAGAATTGTCTTGCATTTTGAGATCTTCATTTACATGGCATTACTGTTGTATACATATTATAAGCGGCTTCATATTTTAGCGAACTTGGTACAAACAACAATGTGCTACTTCCTGACTACCACTAAGAATTCATTTATAAAAACAACACTTGACACAAATATGTGTAGTGCTAATTCATGATTACGCGAACAATTCCATATCCAGTAACCGCTAAATTTTAAAAAATCTCAATTTATGTTCACATACAGTAATGCACTGAGCATTCATTATTTACTCTTTGAAGAAACATCTTTAGGTTTATGAGAGCTGGAGATGTATATGATAATGAAAACCTGTTGTACAATTCACATTGTCCCAGATAGGTTATTCCTCCCTAATCATCCAAACATTGACACTGATTCTTTATGGACATGCTGACCTTGTGTTTCCGTGGTTTCAGGGTGAGAATTTGTCAGATGATATCAGATGTGGAGGTGGAACGAGCTAAAAATGTACTCAAGGCCAATATGAGGCTGCAGCTGGATGGGACCACGCCCATCTGTGAAGATATTGGCAGGTTAGTTATCCAATCAATGTGCCCCAGTTAGTTATCCAAACAGTGTGCCCCAGTTAGTTATCCAAACAGTGTGCCCCAGTTAGTTATCCAATCAATATGATCCAGTTAGTTATCCAATCAATGTGATGCGGTTAGTTATCCAATCAATGTGCCCCAGTTAGTTATCCAATCAATGTGCCCCAGTTAGTTACCTAATTAATGTGCCTCAGTTAGTTATCCAATCAATGTGCCCCAGTTAGTTATCCAATCAATGTGCCCCAGTTAGTTACCTAATTAATGTGCCTCAGTTAGTTATCCAGTCAATGTGCCCCAGTTAGTTATCCAGTCAATGTGCCCCAGTTAGTTACCTAATTAATGTGCCTCAGTTAGTTATCCAATCAATGTGCCCCAGTTAGTTATCCAATCAATGTGCCCCAGTTAGTTACCTAATTAATGTGCCTCAGTTAGTTATCCAATCAATGTGCCCCAGTTAGTTATCCAATCAATGTGCCCCAGTTAGTTACCTAATTAATGTGCCTCAGTTAGTTATCCAGTCAATGTGCCACAGTTAGTTATCCAATCAATGTTGTACAGTTAGTTATCCAATCAGTGAACTTCAGTTACACATTTAGATATTGTGAACGCTGCAGGAAATATTTCCTGAACTGTATGAGGAATTCTGGGCAATGTTTCTACCCTCCTTTTCTTTTTGTACATCTACATCACAGTTTTTTCAGCATGACAGTTGTTAAAAACAATGTTCCTAACTGTGTGTTTCTTGTTTCTTTCAGACAAATGTTGGCTTATGGAAGACGGGTTCCCCTAGAAGAGATGGAGTATAGAATTGATGTAAGTTTAATGTAGGATGTTGACAGGAGCTTGCAGTATTTATATAAGTTTGAATAGGTAGGGTATGAAGTATATCCACATCGATGTTTCAGAAAAATTTCTGTATATTACATTTTGACTTGATGATAATTGTAAACACTTAATATTTTCTTACTTTAAACCAACTTCTATTAGCATGCAAGAAATATTTGTGACACTGGAGACCTACTATTTACCCACACATATTAACTGCTGTGATCGATTTCTTTTGGTTTGCATTTGTAAAGAATTTTTCCTGAGTCACAAAAAGTTTTCATCAATCGCAGATTGATTTTAAACTGACAAATCACTAATAAAAGATGACAGGAATAATAATTGGTTTACACTAAACATTGTATGGTGACATTTTTTTCTCTATGTAACAGGCTGTTACCCCCCAGAAGGTTAAAGACACATGTATGAAATATATCTATGACAGATGTCCAGCTTTAGCCACAGTCGGTAAGAGAGTTTATTCAGTATTTATTAAATCCCATTTTATGTCACGTAAATCAAATGATCTCGGTCTTTACGTCCTTATGATCACTCTACCATCACTGTTTTATTTCCCCCGCTGTAGGACCCTGTGGTGCCGTACCAGACTACCCCTCACTCAGAGCCGACTTCTATTGGTTACGATACTGAACATGCCTTGCCTAGGGATTTTATAAACAATTTAAAGGATGACATGCTGGAATCCGGAAGGAAAGTGAGATAGATGTGTACACAGTGACATATAAACTCAGACATTCATGTGATGTGTTATGTTAAGTATGATGATTTCAATAAATTATTGTTTCTACAAGGTTTTAATATTCTTAGTCTTTGTTACTGGCTAAAGGTTAATTGTATACAAGATAGTGCCTCCCTTTCGTCATTTGACTTTTATTACAAGTGAGCTAAGAAGATAAACAAATAAGGAGAGCCAAATGCTTACTGTGTGACTAATAAAAAAGTAAAATAAAGTTAGGAGATTTGGGAGTATATAGTTTTGTCTTTTCTGTTTGCTTTAAAAGCTGTTTGTTTTATAAGCAAAAACTTGAACCTTTTCCGTAACTTTTGAGTGTGTTGGGCTATGTCATTCATATTTCACAGGTGTATTTTGTGAGAAAATAATCTTTCTTAGCACTGTGTACTGTATGATCGAGAAAGGTCATTATCTATAAGATGGTAAAAATACCAAGATGTACTGTATTGTAGAGAAAGACCATTATGTATAATATGGTAAAAAAATACCATGATGTACTGTATGGTAGAGAAAGACCATTATTTATAAGATGGTAAAAATGCCCTAATATACTGTATGGTAGAGAAAGACCATTATGTATAAGATGGTCAAAAAAATACCATTATGTACTGTATGGTATAGAAAGACCATTATGTATAAGATGGTAAAAAAATACCATGATGTACTGTGTGGTATAGAAAGACCATTATGTATAAGATGGTAAAAAAATACCATGATGTACTGTGTGGTATAGAAAGGTCATTGTGTACTGTATGGTAAAAAAAAGACCTTTATGTTTTCTTTGTTGAAGAGAAGCATCATGTACTGCATGGTGAAGAGAGGTCATTACGTTCTGTATGGTAAATATAAAACATTATGTATTGAATAGTAAAGAGAGAATCACCATGCATTGTATGGTTGAGAAAATCCATCATGTGATGTTTGACAGAAGTCATCAAAAAGTCATCAAGGCTGTCCTAAATTAATGGTAGGGAGAGGCTGTCATGAATTTATGGTAGGGAAGGACCATCATGAATTTATGGTTAGGGAGTGGCCGTCATGAATTAATGGTAGGGTGAGGCCGTCATAAAGTTATGTTAGGGAGAGGCTGTCATGAAATAAGGGTAGGGTGAGGCCGTCATAAAGTTATGTTAGGGAGAGGCTGTCATGAATTCATGGTAAAGCGAAGCCATCATGTGGACTTTGGTAGAAAGTTTTCATTTAAATTCTATATGGTAGAGTGATTACCATTCCCTGTATGTTGGAAAGTAACCTTCTGTATCTTAGAGAGATGCCCTATAAAGTTCGAAATGATATAGAGAGAAAGCAGAGAGTTATGCTGGTTAACTCTAGACTGGCCCCACAAAGGGTAATGACTTTTGTAAATGTGAAAATCTTCTATTACTTCAAGTACAGTAGAGAAATTTCTCAATGAAAGAGAAGAGTTTCAACACTGTTCAATGGACTTCTGAGCTTGATGACTTGATGTTATCTACATATTTTATTCCATGTACAGTACAGCATAGTGAAGCCATAACTTCCCTTATGATAAAGAGTAGTTATCATTGAATAGTACTCCTTCATTTATTAGTGACTTGTTTTTATATTCCTAAGAAACAGAATTTATTTAAAAACACCTTCTATTTGAAAAGAAGAAAACATGTGCTGTGGCCTTCACCTCAACATTTAAATTTTAGTATATCCACAATTTAAGTATCGATTAACAAAATTTATGTTTATTGATAGGTCGATTCCATATATCCCAGTGAACTTGATATTAAAGAAACCGCAAAGTTTTTGCCACATCTTTCATAATTACTCTTCCTAGACACGGGATCCCACCTCTGGAAATTCCAGTGATCTGTGTTAAATCCCTCCTGCAGAGGTGTATTGTTTTATAAGATTTCTAACTAAAGGTTAATCACCGTTCGTTATCTTAACCTTCTTATTCATAGAGAAACCCCATCTTTTATGGTTGAGTAGCTATCCTATACTGTATAATAGCAAAGAGCGACCTCAGGCCGTTTCCTATGGTAGAGAACAACTCTCATGGTCTGTGTAAAAGAGTGAACCCGGCATACTCTTCATAGTTGAGAATAACCAGCTGGATATGGACGTTTGTTTAACCTATAGAAAAAAGTATTTAACAGAAACAGGTCAAGATAACAACAGCGATCTTTCTCATAAAAACTTCAAACAATACAAATCTGCAATCAGGGCAACAGGGCAGGAACACATACCCCCGAAACACTACAGATACGGGACCAGGTGCCCGCAAGGAGCTAGCATTCCCCGCCGACCGGTCACACCCACCACGAGCCCCATGCACCGACCAAGTGGACAGAACACTCCGTAGTCAAATATAGTACAAAAACAACATCCAACAATTAACTTGAAATAAAATTCCACCCAGTGACAGGTCATATTTGCTAATCAGGTCATCATAACGATTACAGAATTAACGAAACGCTGACTCTAAACGAGGTTGTTGAAATCCCTGTAACGTCAACGTATGACTGAGAAGCTTGCATCGGTTTAAGGTCAGTCGACACGTTTCTAAAAATATAATTTTTCTCAAGAGTTTGTCATTGAATTCAAGGAACTTAATAAAGCTGAACACGATTCGTAAAAGGAATCTGTCCGCCATTTTTGTTCCGAGTCTCGCTACTCTGCAGAACCCTATAAATAGGACAAAACTTGGTCACTGTTCAGTGTAATCAGTCGACACCGGTGTAGACGGACGTATGCTATACAGAACTCGGTAGCGAGAATAATAACGTAATACTTCGTCTAATGCAGGAAAATAAGATACCAAATAAATTTACAATTATAGTTGTATAAGTCAGTGCAGTATACAAACAACACAGATAAACGTAACTGCAATAAAATATAAACAAAGGTAATGCAAGATAACCAGCACGAACACGGGTCGCCATTCCACGCCGATACCCGTGACAATAAAGCAGTCAGGTGTAACAAATGCGACGAGTATACCCTGGTATTGATGTATCGTAGAAATGTTATCGAAAATGGCGTATGCCTATTTACGAGTCGTGTTCAGCTTTAAGGAAGTTTTCTCACAAAAAAAAAAAAAAAAAAAAATAGAGTACGTTATTTACCAGGCATTTGATATTTCTTAAATAACCCTTATGGGTAAAATATCTTTGAATGGCCCATCTCGATCACAACTTTTGGTGAACTTATATTTAAAAACATTGAAAACAATGTGGAAATAACAAGAAAATGACAACAATGTATATTTTTGTAATACCAAGAAATACAAAACATATATTTAAGGAACGTATTAAAAAATTGCATTAATGTCATATTTTTTCCAATAAACTTACACCTAGAATAATTTAAAAAAAACTGCTTACAAAGTAAAAAAAAAAAGCCAGATTTATGAGTGATTCTTCTTTTTGGTGGAAGTATATTTAGAAGAGATTTTTTTTTTTTAAATTTACAAATTGGTTTAATTTAAAACTAGTATCTTGGAACCTTAGTCCCATAGTTTTTTAACTGAGAGAACACATTCCTTTACAATACGCTAGGAAAATGAACTATAGGTCTGAATTCATATTCTTAGAACAAATTTTACACAGCCACTCAATAGACTATGATAAGAAATGAAAAATATCAACAATTTACAGTTTTAGTCTGAAATCGCACATTTATGCTATTTTCTTTTCCATGAAATATATCGAGGTATAATTTTCAACCAGTATTCACCATTTTAAAATCCATTAAAGAATACAAATTTTGGAGGAGAGCAAACACAAACATCTAAAACATTATGGGTAGGATCGGGTGCCATGAAGGAGTGAGTATCCCTTGCCGACCGGTCACACCCGCCGTGTGCTCCCTGTTATGATTGGGAAATAACGGGAAATCCGTCAATATTTCATATACGATTCTTTATTCAAGATAGATGCTCTTCAAAGTAGTTTAGGACAGAGGATAACATTCTATTTTTAGTAACAAGATAAGAAAAATCATTCTGTTTTCTAGTAATAAGATAAAAAAAAACATTCTGTTTCTAGTAATAAGATAATAAAAATCATTCTGTTACTAGTAATTAGCTATAGATAAGAAAACATTCTAAAAAGATAAGAAAAATCATTCTGTTACTAGTAATTAGATAAAAAACATTCTGTTTCTAGTAATAAGACAAGAAAAATCATTCTGTTTTCTAGTAATAAGATGAGAAAAATCATTCTGTTTCTAGTAATTAGATAAAAAATACATTCTGTTTCTAGTAATAAGATCAGAAAAATCATTCTGTTACTAGTAATTAGATAAGAAATCATTCTGTTTCTAGTAATAAGATAAGAAAAATTATTCTGTTTCTAGTAATAAGAGAAGAAAACTCATTCTGGTACTGGTAATAAGATAAGAAAAAAATCATCCTGTTTCTAGAAATAATGAAAGAAAAATCATTCTGTTTCTATTAATACGATAAAAAATCATTTGTTACCAGTAATTAGATAAGAAAAAATTATTCTGTTTCTAGTTACAAGACAAGAAAAATCATTCTGCTACATGTACTAATTATAAGATAAGATAAGATACAATGAAATATTAAGATATCGATCAATACAATATATTTCTAAAGATTTCAGGGTTTTTTGTTGGAATATTCTTTACTTTCATCATCCCATCAATCTGAACATTACTACATCGTCAAAACGATTAAATCAAAGAGTTTTTCTAAATAATTCATCACCTGCAATTAAACAATTTATCAAAATTCTAAATAACAATAAAAGAAAACAGAAAAGAAAATACTGATTGTCTACAAGTTAGTTTCGGTTCACCGAATGACTAATTTAATAGTGGAAAGCGTTTGTTAAGTGATATTAATGTCTTTTAGTCTTAAAGATCATTAGAGTATACTTTAATTAAAATGTGATAAAAAGATTTGTCGCTGAGTAAAGAGAACAGAAGGACAATCCAATGACCAAATATACACTCTCCCGTTCTCTGTGTCAGTTGTAGACTACAATGATATAACTCTTATTACACATCATGTATCTGAAAAGATATGTATACCTACAAATTGCCTGCTTTCTTATTCCCGTGTCTGAAA